GTTGAAGGTGGAGAGCACTTGCTGGTTGTCCCAGATCCAGCCCCTAACATCTCTAGGTACAGCTAGGAAAGACCCTACCTGAAACTCTGGAGAAGCTTGGTTTGTGGAGGTTTGTGGTGAGTAAAGGTAAAGGGACCCCTGACCATTAGGTCCAGTCGTGACCGACTCCGGGGTTGCGGCGCTCATCTCGCTTTATTGGCCGAGGGATCCGGCGTACAGCTTCCGGGTCATGTGGCCAGCATGACTAAGCTGCTTCTGGCAAACCAGAGCAGCGCACGGAAACGCCGTTTACCTTCCCGCCAGAGCGGTACCTATTTATCTACTTGCACTTTGACGTGCTTTTGAACTGCTAGGTTGGCAGGAGCTGGGACCAAGCAACGGGAGCTCACCCCGTCGCAGGGATTCGAACCGCCAACCTTCTGATCGGCAAGTCCTAGTTTAACCCACAGCGCCACCCGCGTCCCTTTGTGGTGAATAGCCTCCATCATAAATTCATTTGAGTTGTGTTAAAGGAAACTGTTCTCTCTGAGGTTTCAGGCAAATGATAGCACTTCTCTGACAGAATTGCTGTTGGTGAGGTAGTGACAGTACTTGCTGTTTAGGAAAGTTTATGTAGCTACGAAGCCGCCTTACAATATTACTGAGAGCTATGCTGTATGTTAAAATATGCTGTGTTGCTTTTTTTCAAAACAGGAATTGAAAGTTGCATAATCAACATTTTCGTGCCGATTAGTGCCCATAATATAAACACAGCTTCTCTCCTTTTTTTTAAGGTCATTGAAGTGAAAGCAAATCGAAGAACTGGTGAGCAGAATTTCATATCCTGCATGAGGAAAGCCTTAGAAAAATATTACGGTGACAAGCCAGTTGGCATGGGAGGGACATTCGTTATCCAGAAAGGAAAAGCAAAAATTCATATTATGGTAACTAATAAATAAGTAATGGTTCTCTTCCCTTGTTCTTTGAGAGTATACAACAGCAGTATAGCTGCCATGATAAACAAGGTCTAGGTTTCTGCATAGGAGGGAAAAATGCACGTAGAAAATATTCTGAATTGCAAACTTGTGTTTGCTGTATGCAATTTGAACTTACAGCCGCTTGGTGAGTGTCTGAGGCGCCCAAACCAACCGCAGTTAAGGAAGGGTGCTGGAGTTGCTTGTTGAAATAAATCAAGGTTTGAAAGTCAACAACAAACCATGGCTTCAGATTGTGGTTTGTTGGCAATAAACAAACCATAGTTACTATGCAGGATGGCCCTGTGTCCTACTTTATAGCCTCCTATTTTCAAAGAGCTGTAAGAAGATAGTCCTCTTTTTGAAGGACTGGCCAGTTTAAGTCTGGTTTAAAGTTAAAAAAAACCCCTGCAAGGAGTGGCTAGGGAAACCCAGACAGATAGGCAGGGTATAATAAATTATTATTAGTACTGTAGTAGTATTATTAGGAGAGAGTGCAGGGGTCTTGAAATTCCTCATCAACACTTTGCACCTGGAAAAAGAGGTAGGCCGGCTGGGCCCAGTCTTCCCCCTTATGGTGAGATGTAGGATATTTTTCTGATGGACATTACCAGGCTGACCTTTGCTCCAACATTCCCAAGTTTTCATTCCTTAAATATAGTTGTCTTTTCCCTACAGCCCTCAGAATTTTCTGCCTGTCCTTTGAAAACGGACGAGGACGTGAACAACTGGCTCAAGTTTTATGAAATGAAGGCTCCGCTAATTTGCCAACCCGTTTTGGTTTCCCATGATCCAGTAAGTCACTTTGTTGGCATACAGCGTGAGTTCTCTTGGGTATGTTCTTCCGGGGGGGGGGGGATGTTGGCTTGTCTAACCACACAGACATTCAGACATTACTGGTGGTCACAACCAACCCCAGAGGGGAGCATTCCAGCATACTGCTTTCTGTCTGCAATCTGAATTGTTACAGCACAGCAACTGGGCAGTGCTTTGCCTTGTTTTCTGATTCTCTCTTCATAAATTCATTCTCAGGAAGCATATAACGGAGGGCTGGGCCTGCGGCATGGCCTTGTCCCTGAGCTTGATTTTACTTCTTCCTGTATTCCCCAGGGCTTTGATCTGCGCCTCGAGCACACACACTGCTTCAGCCACCATGGCGAGGGAGGCCACTACCACCAGGACACGACCCCAGAGACCGTCGAGTACCTGGGCTATTTTCAACCCGCCGAGTTTCTCTTCCGAATTGACAAGCCCAAAGAGACGCACATGGTTGGCCGGGATTGAAGCGAGACGGGGTCAGGTTGCAGCGGGAAGCCAGCTCGGCCAAGGAACAGGAAGTCTGGCAAATTGGTAGAAATTTGCCTTTAACCGGAAAGAAATGTCAGTCACAAGATGGACTCCAATAACCACAGGAAGATAGCACTTATTTTGCTTGTTCTCGAGGGGGATGGCATGTAATTAATGGGTGATTGGAAATACAGCTGAATTTAATCTGATGACAAGGAACACCTGGAGTCAGTTACTTAATTGCCGGGAGGGTTGTCTCTACCAGCTGTTTTCTCAACTTCCTTTCTTTCATTAATAACAATTTTTACAAACAGGCCCCTGAGTGGAAGGTGAGGAGTTCTTCCCCATTGTTTTTTGTTGTTGTTGTTTAGTAAGTCCAGCTGCCACAGACACATATACTGCCATTTTGTCCATGCCTGAAACACCTGAGAGGGTGGGGGGGAGAGAGATCAGGGGTAAGGGTTGTTTTCTGTAAGCCCTTCTCCTCTGTTTGGGAGCCTGCCTGCCTCCTGCCCAAAGCCGCTTCAGGAAAGAGAGGGTGATATCGTCTCTTGGAGCAAGCAGCACCTCCAAATGGACAGGTCTGGGCCTGAGGCTGCCAGTTGCCAAACCTCCCTTGCTTTAACACCAACAAATTCAAAAGTGCAAGGTTCCCTCATGATAGTCTCAGCCACACGTCCTTGCAGCCGTATCCTTCAGTAACTCATCCTACAGATTTGCTGCACAGAAATGATGTGACCATACCCAAACAGGATTTGGATGCAGCAGAGAAAATACATGGAGCGGAGATAGACTAGTGTACTTTATATATATAATAATAATAATTTATATAATAATTTATTATTTATACCCCACCCATCTGGCTGAGTTTCCCCAGCCACATAGAAGAGCACGGCAAACTTCAATGATTCACACAGAGATCTGAAAAACACACTTTTTATTATTATTTGGGCAAGTCTCCAGCTTACAGCATATTCCTAATCGTCAACTTTAAGCCCTATTGAATTCAGTGGGGTTTACTTGTACATGGGACTCACATTGCTGCGTTAGCAAGAGAGCCAAAAGTTGGACTGGAGCACTGAATTTATTCTCCGTTTTCCTCCTGACTTTGGGTTGCAACTAAACCATGCATGTCTCTTATTTACTCAATTGCCCGTTTCACCCATGGGTGCTTCATTTGGGTGTGACGCTTTTTCTTAGCACTTCTTGTCCCAGGTGAAACATCTTAAAATTGCACTTGAATCTATTATTATTTTATCATTTTTTTCCAGGCAGGATAGGTAAACGTCTCTTTCCCCCACCCCCAATGCATATAAATTAAAAGCTGGTTGGAAAGTGGCAGTTCTGAGTCATCTGCTGCATTCGGTTTGTTTAGACAATTTTCTCCTTGCAAGTAGCGCAGCTTTATGACCGTTAAAGTTCTTGTTCAGTGTAGGAACCTCTGCTGTGCTAGTACACCTCAAAGACTCAAGCGAGTTATTTTTATGTTACTTAAAGTGGAGTGGCTAAGCTTTTTTACCCCCTAGGAGCTGATTAGCAGTGCAAAGTGTGGCTACCCCACAGCCATGTTCGCAGGACACACAGAGCCCTCCCCATGCAAAACAGCTGTTTCTGCTTATCAAATTATCAATTTGATGGGGAGCCTTTTTTGCTCCTTTTTGCCAACAAGGGGAAATTTTCTTGGAGGGAACCTGACTCAGCCCTCCTGGGTTTAGTAGTTAACTACATATGACCGAAAGGAACTTTGGATTGGAGTTTTACAGGACCGGGCCCCCCAAATTAGCATGCACAAGGCTTGTAACATACAGCTGCAATCTTACAAATGCTTGTCTCGGAGCATCTTCTGTGGAATTCAGTGCGGGACTTGCTCCATAATAAACCTTGGTGGTGTTGCACTGCGCACCTGCTGCAACCCTGCTTCCAAGGTCTCTGATGAGTTGTGGAGCTTGGAGCAGGGATGGGTGGACCTGCAGCCCTCCAGGTGTCCTTGGACTCCACTCCCATCAGCACCAGCCAGCACAGACAGATGATCAGATGATAGGCGCTGAAGCCCAACACCAACAAGGCAGGCAGCTTCCGCGTTCCTGACTTGGAGTGTGGAAAACTGAAATATACTGGGAGTTGAGAGTGGATTTCATGCTCTTTATTCAGCTAATAGAAGTGAGGAGGAATGGAAGTTCCCCCAGAATGTCTGCTTTATATACATTATTTACACAATGGGCCCCATGTGATTGGCTAATTCCGGGATTCTCCTGTAGGCCAATCAGGTTGCGGATTCACTTCCACCGGGAGCTGGATTGGGTGGCTCCTGTGGACCAATCAGACTGCTGCATTTTGGATCCTATTCAACTCAGTACATGACAAAAACCCAGAAAGCAAAATTTTCCGTGCAGAGCAAACATGCAAATAAATAAAGATGCATGTAAAAGCTACTCATAAATAACTGCCGCCACACACTTTAGTTCAGCTTTCCCCAACCCGGTGCCCTCCAAATGCTAAAAACTACAACTCCCAATGAGCCTCGCTGATGGGAGTTGTAGTCTGAAATATCCAGCGGGCGGCAGGTTGGGGAAGGCTGGTTTCGCGGGGCCCCCTGTCTCCGTTCTATCCCCGCCCCTTTCGAATCCCGTGCTCTTCCGGGAGCAACCTCCAGCGGACACTAGGGGGAGCCTGAACTCCTTTTTTAGCCTCTTTACGCACACCGCTTGCTTCAGCCGTGTCCCTCCGCAGGCACTTAACGCGCATGCTCGGCAAGTGCAGCCGGGATCTTTCTCACACAAACACACAGCCGATGAGGAGGGAAACCTGAGTCGCTGCTCTGGCCTGTCCCTCCGCAGACACCGTAGCCCTTAACGCGCATGCTCGGCGAGGCCTTCTCGTACACCTGAACGCAGAGCCTCTGAGGGGAACCTAGGCTGAGGCGAAGATGTCGGGGGTCCCCGCGGTGCGGATCAGCATCGAGTCGGCCTGCGAGAAGCATGTTCAGGAGGTGGGCCTGGACGGGAGCGAGACCTACCTGCAGCCGCTCTCCATGTCGCAGAACTTGGCCCGCCTGGCGCAGCGCATCGACTTCAGCCAGGGCAGCTCCGGCTCCGAGGAGGACGAGCCCGCCGCGGCCGCCGGGGGAAGAGAGTGGCCCGGGGCCGCAGGAGGGGAGGACGAGGAGGAGGAAGGTAGGGAGCGAGGCCTGTCCCGTCGCCACCGCTATCGTAGACTTGGGAAGGGGACCCTTGAGGGTCAGGTAGTCCAACCCCCTGCCATGCCCGAGCCTGAAGCATTATTATTATTATTATTATTATTATTATTATTATTATTATTATCATTTATTGTATTATCATTTATTGTATGCATGCTACCCTTCCTCTGAAGATCGAGGGGCGGTCCACCACATTTTTTTAAAATTTAATTTACACACACACCGCCCAATACCCAGGGGTCTCAGGGCAGTTCACAGAATAAAATCAAGATATAAAACCACAAAATACACAATAAAAATAAAAAGCAACAACCCAATAGGCCTCCCCCCCCACAAAAAACACATTTAAAAAGGGCATAAAAATACAAAGCAAGAACACAAATTACGCGATCAAAATGAAAACACCGAGCCGCTTTCAGGCTGCAGGTAGAGAAATCACGGGTTTTTTAATTGTGTTCTCTCCCTTGTAGAAATCACAGGCGAATCCAAATCCAGTGAAGGTGTAGCCAAGCCCCCAACATACTTTTTTTTTTCTTCCTAGAAGGTGCTTTTACTATTTGGTTTTAGTTGGGGAGACAATACGAAATGTGACCCCTCTGCCAGCAATCTGGCCCACTTCCTTATTTCTACTGGAGGGGTGGGTGTTTATGCCAACTCCTTTTTCGGAGTTGTCAGCTTGGATATTTTAAAAATATCTGGTAGGTGTGGACAACTGAAGAAGGCATTCTGGGAAAAGCCTTGGTGGATTTTGACACATGAGGAGGCTGGGTCTCTAGGGGGAGAAAAAACCAAGCTTCTCACCTAATTCAAAATGTCTGGTTTATTTTATGAAATATCTGATACCTAAACCTGAGGCACAAAATATCAACTAGTGGATGGCAAACTTTATCTGCATTGGTTTGTTTATTAAGGAATTTCCTACAAGGCTATTGAAGAACTTTGATGAGTTGCAGAGGATTCTGGGCTATAAACATGCTTTTGCATGCACTCAGTTTCTGTGTTTTGCTACTAAGGATTCCTGGACTTCTGTGTGGCCCCTCCCCAACTCTGTGCATCCTGGAAGATGTTGAGTACACACCTCAACCACACTGAATCACGGATTAATGAAGTTAGAAGTTTTCCAAGAATTCATCTAATTCAATCCCTGGTTCAGTGGAGGATCTACAATACACAGGCTGCAGTTGCAGCATCCTTGGTGGATAGCTATCCAGCCTCTGCTTACATACTTGCAGGCAAAGGAGAACTTAGGCAGTCAGCTCCACTAGCAGGTATCTCCTAATCTATAAATGAAAACTGCTTTCCTGCACACTTTACCAGTATTGATATTCATTTTTTATTGGGAAGCTTCTAAAGCTGCCCACCCCTTCTCACTGAGTTGAACAAGGATGGGAAATTGCATTATAGTGACTCAGACCACTGGTTCAGCAATTCTCTGGGGTTTCAGATGGGTCTCTTCCAAGCCTTACCTGGAGCTAGTGAGGAATTGAACATAGGACCTTCTGTGTGCAAAGCTGATGGTCTACCACTGACCTTTGACCCTTCACAAATGGGATACAACTCCATGGCATTCAGCTTTCTATCCATAGTTATATCAGCACCTGTGTAAAGGAATAGCTCTCTCGATGATTCCAGCAATAGTATATAGACATCCTGTGTTTTTCCTTCATTTGTGCGCTCTAGGTTTGGTAAAGTTCCAGCCTTCGCTCTGGCCCTGGGATTCAGTGAGGAATAACTTGAGAAGCGCTTTGACAGAGATGTGTGTGCTCTATGATGTTCTCAGCATTGTCAAGGATAAAAAATTTATGACTCTGGATCCAGTTGTGCAAGAACCACTTACCCAAAAGCAGGTACAGCCCACCTGTTCTGTTCAGGCCACTATTAAAACTATTGGGAAAGATGAACTGTTCCATTTTGGTTAAACTTCATAACTTGTTTCTGTTTGTATTTATTGTTAACTGTGGGCTACATTGTCAAATATGAAGTAGTTTCCTTTTCAAGAGGGAATTAGAATTTGTCCACACATGCTTTTAAGCTGAAATTGGATTTGTTGCCTAGAAGACACAATACAGTATACGTTTCCTTTTTGCTTGAAGTTTATAATGTTTATAATTGTTTATAATGTAAAAGGAGAACCAGTGGCTCTGCAGATAGTGATGGACTCCCAACTCCCACTGGTACCAGCCAGCATGGCCATTAGTTGTAAATGGTGGGAGTTGTGATCTAGGAACATCTGGAGGGATACAGGTTGCCCCATCCCTGGTGTCGACAGATAAGGTCACATTTAAATAAAACTGCAGTTCTGTTTCCTCATTTCTAGAATCAAGTTTTGCAGCTGATCTCCAAGAAGAAGTCGTTAGCTGGAGCAGCCCAAATTCTTCTGAAGGGAGCAGAAAGGTTATCTAAATCGGTTGCAGAGAGCCAGGAAAATAAGCGACAGAGAGACTTCAACTCTGAGTTACTAAGACTGAGGCAGCACTGGAAGCTGAGGAAGGTCGGGGATAAGATCCTTGGGGACTTGAGCTACAAAAGTGCAGGTATGGTAGGCAAAGGATTGGTCTAAAGTTTGCAGAGTCTAATAATAATGTTTTTGATCAGCTCTTCTTCCACACATGATAGAGCTTTGTATCTCCTCCTTCTGAGTTGAAGCAGGACTGCCCAAGACATTTTGCTGCTTGAGGCAAAGAACAAGATGGTGCCTCACCCTCTACATTGCATGTACAGAAACTGCCCGGAGTGGCTGTTTAATCTTTCTTCCGCATGAGCAACAGGACAGCATCCTCCACTGCAATTGGAAGGCAGCAGGCTAGCTTAGGGGACATGTACAACGCTGTTCTCTAGCAGATGGGAATGCGTGGAGGCTCAGAAGGAATTGGCTAGCGGGGAGCTTGTCACTGACGCTCCCTTCAGTTCTGCTGCCTGAGGCAGCTGACTCACTAATAATAGGGCTGGCCCTGTCAAGAAGCATAGAGCAGAAGGAGAAAGACATATTGGCAACTGAGGAGCTAGGTAGTAGATATGGTTGCCAACCCCTGTATTGTACCAACTACTCCTTAGCTTTGAACTATAAGATAGTGTCCAGTTCAATTCTTGTTTCTGCCATGAATTTGTTAGGCATGCCACAGTCTCTCAGCATCATCCAGCCCCCATCCCTCCCGCAGTCTACAATTTGGGGATAATAGTACTGACCTACTTTGCAAGGTTGTTGTAAGGATTTCTGTGAATGAGCAACACTGTACGCTCTGTTTCCTTGGGATAATTAAAGTTACTATTTCAGTGAAAATGTTACTATTTCAGTAAAAATACTAGGATGACATAGAAGAAAAATGCAGTACTCTGAACATTGGTAGCTTGTGATAGCATTTATTTGTTGCATAGAGTAGTAATATGTTGTCTAAAACATTACAGATTATAAGCTAGCATGTATGTACTTCATTTGGTCTTATTATTGTGGCATGAACATTGTAAGAAATACCAAAACATTTAAACTATTTTTACTTTTAGGGTCTCTCTTTCCTCATCACGGTACATTTGAGGTCATAAAAAACACAGACATTGATTTGGATAAAAAGATTCCTGAAGATTACTGTCCATTGGATGTTCAAATCCCAAGTGATTTAGAGGGATCTGCCTATATAAAGGTTTGCCCAGTTGTTGTTTTTAACATTTTGTTAGTGTGTTCTTTGGATACAAAATGACCCTGTTTTCTTCTTCTTGAATAAAGGTGTCTATTCAGAAGCAAGCACCCGATATAGGGGATCTGGGTACAGTAAATCTGTTTAAAAGGCCGCTTCTGAAATCAAAGCCAGGTATAGTTATGGTCTGTATTTGAATGGTATGTGTCAAAAGACTGTGTAAGCATGAAAACTGAATAGAGCTATTAAAAAATAAACCTACTCTTGAAAAGCCCAATATCTTCACTGATTCATAACACTCTGCTCAAAGATCTAGACATGAAATTAAATGTATTCTTTTTTGCCCACCCTCACTGAGCTCTGCATAGGTGATATGTATTGTCTTCAACTTGAGTTGTATTAAAAAAATTCAAATTGTGTGCACATTTTATCAACCATCTTTTTCTCATCATTTAGGTTGTGTAATACTTTGAATGTCCATATAAATATAGCTGCTTCTCTCAACTTTACAATGGTGTTTTCCCCTTCCTCTCCTTCAGGGGCTCTGCATTGGCAAACGAAGCTGGAGACGGCACAGAATGTATTGCTGTGTAAAGAAATCTTTGCTCAACTGTCTCGAGAAGCTGTACAAATTAAATCTCAGATTCCCCACATAGTTGTGAAGAACCAAATAATTTCCCAGCCATTTCCAGGTAAGAGTTCTGAGACACATTAAAATGAAGGATCTGGCAGATTTTTGCATGCGTGTAGAGAGCAAATCTCAAAAGATGTGTCATTTAACCCAGTACCTTTCAAGACTCCTTCAGGTGCATGGCTCTAATCTGTCCAAAAGATACCCCAAACTATCATCTTGCTTGCATGGACTGATCCAGGCAAAGCTGCCAGCATTTCCCCGTTTCCATAGGCTAATGTTTATGTCTTACATTTAAGAAATCAGCAAGTTTTTGTGTAGGACAAATGGAATAAAATATATCTAGATATGTTGTATGTGTTGCTGTGCTCTTATATGTTAAAACCAAGCCATGCTTTCTCTCTGCCCCATTTCATTATGTAGGCTTGCAGCTGTCCATTTCCTTGTGTCACTCTTCAGATGACAAGAAATCCCAGAAATCTGCTTCCGATAAGCAAAGTCCAGAGGATCATCTTTACGTTCTAGAGCATAATTTGCACCAGCTGATTAGAGAGGTAATGTCAGCTTGCTCTGTCCTTCCTGTTAGCTCACTTATAGAAAGCAGCTGTTGTTTTAATTGCCTACTAAAAGGGTGTGTAATATTTGCATTAAGAGCTGTGGCATTTTCTCTAAATGTTTTCTCTTTCTTTTTGGAAGGGTGGTAGTATCTTGGCTATGTTTACTTTAGGAGCTAATTCTGGGCACCATGACTTCTTAAAAACAACAACAACAACAACCACCTAGGCTGTGCTTCTTTTTCTCACAATGCTGCCAGTTAGATAAAACAATCAGCACTATCCAGCAAACATTGTCCCACCCAGTATCGTTGACTGGGACTTGTAGCAGATCTTCTTGCAAGGCCAATTGAAGCGGGGAATGAAAACAAAATGATTGCATGGGATTTGTGTCTTTCGATTGCTGGAACCAGCACACAACTAACTCTTCCCTTCCTCTATTGTGGATTCTGTTTTCGGTAGCAGGAACCTTTAGATTGTAAAAAATTAAGAGCATATTCCATTTGCAGAACAGCTTCTTGATGGGTTCCTGAGAAGCATTTTTATTATCTCAGTGTGCAAACTGGCAACTTGTGGGTCTGCCTCTAATCATGACAGAATATTGTTCCCTGTGGTTTTTATTCCATTAGCCCTCCTTGATCTCCATGTATGGTTGAGAACTTCTCCCCAGAGTACAATTGCAAATGCATTACAGGAAGAATTAGCATCAAAGACTTTGGGGGTGAGGAAAGGCACTGTTATTTTTGCAATACGGAGAGAGAAGTCATGTGATGTACTTGAGTATCTACGGAGAGGTTTATCATACGTGCATGAGGATCTAAGAAAGCGAATGGAATTAAAACTACAGATCTCTGGGAAGCAAATATCTTTTAAGCTCTTGTTCTTCCGAGAACGATTTCCTTTGAGTGTCATTGTTTGCTGATAACCTCAAGCTCACCAGTGGGGAACCAACTAATTCTCATCCTTGACCATTGGTCATGCTGGCTGGGTGTGATGGGAGTTGGGAATCCAGTAACATTTGGAGGACTGTAGGCTCCCCAGAGCTGCTCCAGGGTGACATAGCCGATACAGAGCAGGTGCTCCTGCAAACTCGAGAAAAGACAGAAGACATTCAGAAACTATAGTGGAGAGCTTTGTTCATAGGTAAGGCAGTGAAGGATTTCAGGATAAGTCTCTGATTGCTAGACCACCTGATGAGGTTGTATTGGGTTGTATTTGTTTTTATTATGTATTTTTTTATATTGCAATTTTTATGTTGAGAACTGCCCTGAGATGTATGGGTACAGGGTGGTTAATTAATTAATATACCACCCTGTACCCATAAATCTCAGGGCAGTTCTCAACATAAAAATTGCAATATAAAAAATACATAATAAAAACAAATACAGCCCAATAATCCCCACTAGGTCATATGATCACTCTCTCTCCCAGGTGGAAGGGGGAGACATCTCTACTTGTCTCCTTTACATCAAAAAGAGAAGAACTAGGTACTTGTCCTGAGAAATGGCTTTCAGGATCTGCGTTCCCTTTCCTGGCCAGTATTCTTGAGCTTTACAAAGCCCAGGAGAAATTTTGATTGTTGATACAAAATCACGGTGTGTTTTTTGCTTTTGTATTTTCTCAATAGTTAAAAAAGATCGTTTAATCAAGTTGTGCACAGTTGTTACTCGGCAAACAGTTCTGTTTTGTTGGTCTTTGCACAGTTCCTGACTTAAGACTAGAATTCGCTTGTTCTCTTGGCTTCATTGTAGCAACTTTTTTTCCTTCTCAGTTTCACAAGCAGACCCTGAGCTCCACCATGATGCCTCACCCAGCTAGTGCACCTTTTGGCCATAAGAGAATGAGACTAGCGGGGCCTCAGGCTTTTGATAAAAATGAAATCAATTCCTTGCAGCCAAGCGAGGGGCTGCTAGAGAAGATTATAAAGCAGGCAAAACACATCTTTCTGAGACGCAGGTATGCAACTGCATCTTTTGGAGAGCGCTTTGCAAGTTAATTCGCCTGAACGCTTCGCTTGTGCAGCAGGGATTACATCCAATATTTTCTGTCAATTTATGGAAGGAATTCTTCAGAGAAGGGGTGGGGAATCTTTGGCCCTGAAGATGTTGCTGAATAAAGCTCTTGTCAGGAGAAGATTTAGGGGAGAACAGCAGGCTGGCGGGTGATGAAGAACCATCCTCCTCCTCCATTCCAAAGATGGATTCCTTTCATCAGCAAACAGAGCATTGACTACACTCCCCAATGATTCCTATAGGAAGCTGTTTATCACAGGCAGAACTTTTAATCCGTTTCTCATAAACATATTAAGTAAGACTGTCCACTGTCTGTGACTGGACCACACGGCTTTTTCAGCATGTTTAATATGGAGTGTTATGTATATGCTATATAGATCAGTGCACAATGATGTCCAAATGATGGACTCTTCTGCTTGGGAGAGCCTTGCTGGTCGATGGCCAGACTGATGTTCCAGGGACAACATGGAATGAGAATTGAAAAGGAGTGGAGTTGATTCGGGAAAGGGGCTCAATTCAGGGGAGAATGCAACAAGTAGTGGGTAGCATTTCAATTATGTTGGGTGGTCCAGATATCTGTTCAGGGAAATCTAGTCTTAGCCAGTACGCTTTAGTGGTTAGAATGTCAGACTGCACCCAGGCAGAGCCAGCTTCAGATCTCCACACAAGCTGATTGGGGACCAGCAAAAGAATGTCAAGCTGGCTTATCTTGCAGGGTTGTTGTGAAGATGTAATGGCTGGGAAGAGAAACACCATCCTGAGCCCCTTGGGGGAAAGGGTAGGATAAAAATAGAATAAAAAACAAAGTGAGGGAGCAAACCTAATATGTTTTACCTGCAAGGTAATGTTACTTCGGGACACGGGTGGCGCTATGGGTTAAACCACCGAGCCTAGGGCTTGCTGATCAGAAGGTCGGCGGTTTGAATCCCCATGACGGGGTGAGCTCCCATTGCTCGGTCTCTGCTCCTGCCAAGCTAGCAGTTCAAAAGCACGTCCAAGTGCAAGTAGATAAATAGGGAAGGTAAACGGCGTTTCTGGCGGGAAGGTAAACGGCGTTTCCATGCGCTGCTCTGGTTCGCCAGAAGCGGCTTAGTCATGCTGGCCACATGACCCGGAACGATGGCTCCCTTGGCCAATAAAGTGAGATGAGCGCCGCAACCCCAGAGTTGGCCACGACTGGACCTAATGGTCAGGGTTCCCTTAACTTTTTAATGTTACTTCAGGAAAGCTGATTGCAGAAAAGCCTACTTCTTTTTTCGTTCTTTTTTTCAGTGTATGTATGTTTTACTGGAGATAGTTTCTGTCTTCCTTGCAATGCTCTTGAGTCTTTTTCCTACATTTATTGTCTTGTTTTGCAAGACGTGCAGCTTCAACCGATCAATGTGCTGAATAATATATGCCTCCTAGTGTCTTCAGGAATACCTATGAAACATTGATGTGCAATGTAAGGTTCGCTTAAAGTTAGGCATCATAGTCTCGGTAGCATTTGAGATGTGTCAGGCTTGAAATATTATCAATATCAGTTTATGTTTATGGGCATTGATGTCTAATTTGATCAGGCAGAGCTTATTATTTTTCCTCACCAGTATAAAAATGCAGTGCCTCCAAGTCTTCTGGGATCTTGTTCTTTTTGTTTTCAGAACTGCTCGAACCATCGACAGTCTTGCCAGCCGTATTGAGGATCCACAAATTCAGGCGCACTGGTCAAACATCAATGATGTCTATGAATCAAGTGTCAAAGTCCTGATCACCTCTCAAGGTTATGAGCAGATATGCAAGTGAGTGTGGAAGGGGGGAAATGTTTGCACCTTGCTCCTTTGGTGGAGGAAATATTTGGATGTCGCTGTAAATACCCAGTTGGGGAGGTCATTCCCCAATACCCAGAACTTAGAGGCTCAAATGCCTTTTTGAAAAAGGGAGCGCTAAGCGTGAACTATTCCCAATGGTGTTTGCAATGCATATTTGCTGAATTGAAATATCATTTCCCTATTCACAATAGTGCTCTACTTCACTCTGCTTTTAAGGATTGCTGCTGTTGAAGGATTGGTTTTTAATTGTGGAGCAGTGCTATGCTTTTGACTTTCTTAGGCAATGGAGGGAACCCCTGTTCCACCACCCTGAAACACCAGTTGTGCTCATCTCTTATTGCTTTCAAAGGTCCATTCAGCTGCAACTGAATATTGGCGTTGAGCAGATCCGAGTAGTGCATAGAGACGGAAGAGTAATTACGCTATCCCACCAAGAACAAGAGTTACAAGATTTTCTTCTCTCTCAGGTAAAAACCAGGAACCTTTTGCCTTTCTGTGGTGGGCGTGTGATTGCAGCAGGACCTTGGATGCCTTCTTTTTTAAAATGGAATTCTTGGGATTGCAGATGTAGATTTAATGCAGTTGTAGGCATTTGAAGTTCTCATGCTGCATCTGCAAAATATTGCGCTAGTGGCAAATAGCAAGAACAGGGAAATGATGTCTGTGACTAGGGACCTGTTTTCAGTCCAAAGTTTGTAGTCCGAACTTGTTGAGCCAGCTTGATTCTACCAGTAGTATGCTTAGAAAGTATAAGGGGGGACCCCTGACTATTAGGTCCAGTCGTGGCCGACTCTGGGGTTGCGGCGCTCATCTCGCTTTATTGGCCGAGGGAGCTGGCGTACAGCTTCCAGGTCATGTGGCCAGCATGACTAAGCCGCTTCTGGCGAACCAGAGCAGCGCACGGAACGCCGTTTACCTTCCCACCGGAGTGGTACCTATTTATCTACTTGCACTTTGACGTGCTTTCAAACTGCTAGGTTGGCAGGAGCAGGGACTGAGCAACAGGAGCTCACCCCGTCACGGGGATTCGAACTGCCAGTCTTCTGATTGGCAAGTCCTAGGCTCTGTGGTTTAACCCACAGCGCCACCCGCATCCCTTTTAGAAAGTATGCTTTTCTGTTAAATTATTCTTTTTGCCTTGGGAGCCTCCAGCCGAGTCAGGATGGCTTGCTCATAGTCACAGGCAACCAAAAAGTGCTGTACTGTGTCACTTGACATCTCTGTATGTCTTTCACTCCTGTTTACTACTAGAGCTTCTGCACTGGTGTCTCTAGAGTGTGGAAACTGCTGTAGATTAAATGCAGATGTGTCTTTATGTTACAGTACCTAATAAAATAGCTGCTCTGTGTTTTGAGAGAGTAATGAGAGAGAATGTGGCAGGAGGCAGGGGCTAAGGGGGGGAAACTCAACTGAAATATTCACCCATTCATTTTTTAAAATTTTATTTCAGATGTCACAGCATCAAGTGCATGCAGTCCAGCAGTTAGCCAAAGTTATGGGATGGCATGTGCTCAGTTTTGGTAATCACGTGGGTCTGGGCCCAGTGGAGAGTATTGGCAATGCGTCAGCCATAACTGTGGCGTCACCAAATGGAGACTATTCTATTTCAGGTACTGTACTGGGAATTAAAACTTGCTGAGAACCTATATGCTGCATGCATGTGAGCTAAAAAGAAAGAAATGGCAGTGAAAGGAACCAGTACAGTAAATACAGCATTGTTATACTGCAGGGGTTTGTTTTTTTTTAAACCACAACCCACTCAGATTGGAAAGTCAAAAATGGCACAGTATGACTTAATGAGGATTTGTGTGGTTCCTAAGAATTGTTGAAGACACAATCACCAGACTGATATCTTTTATTTGGTTTCATTTTATATGTTATTTGCATATTTTAACAGATGGGTTATGTCACCACGGGAACCTTTGAGTTAAAGGGTGGATTACAATTTTAGTTAAAAAACTTTACAAAATGGTGCATAGTTAATGCTGTTATGTTGCTGCGCTTGTTTTCTGCAGTACGCAATGGTCCAGAAAGCGGCAGCAAAATTATGGTTCAGTTCCCACGCTCCCAGTGTAAAGACCTCCCCAAAAGCGACGTGCTTCAGGACAGCAAATGGAACAACCTTCGTGGCCCATTCAAAGAGGTTCAATGGAACAAAATGGAAGGACGCAACTTTGTATACAAAATGGAACTCCTCATGGCGGCCCTGACACCCTGCTCCTAGGCCTAGCGACGAAACGAAAAGGACTATTGTTTTGGCACAAAAGGGAATGAATCTCTTACACTCCTGATAGTTGCCAAGTTGCATAACCTGTGAAATGCCATTAATTTCATTTCTCTCCCCCCCGCCCCTTTCTGGAAGCAATTTCTCCTGCCATTTCTGAATGTTGAATTAAACTGTGCCGTTGTCTTGCCCGAGTCCCAAGTTCTTGATGAATAGTTCATGAGGTTTGTAAAATGGAACTCGTCTTTGCTTCCATCTTTACAAAGGGGTTACCTGGACTGCTTCCGTAGAAAATGTGGTTATGCCCAGCTTAGCAAAGGCAGCCCAGAATGGGCTGGAACATTTCTATACATTTAGAGGAGGTCTTTGCCATAGTAGTAGTTACTTCCTCAGTGCTCAGATCTGCATCTGTGACTCTTGATAACTGCTGAATATAGGCTTAGATTTATTTTTTACACACCACCTGTGAAGGTGAAAGATTGCAAAGTGGAAGAAAACTTTTACAATCTCTTATTGATCCCACCTTGAATTCAGGAGCAAATGCCACTAAATTCAGAGGGGATCTGAGCTGGTGGGGATTAGATCGGATGGGCTCTGTGTGATGTCTCGGTCCTAAAACCAATGAAAATGTATGTTCAGGTAATAACTCTTTAATAATGATGATCAAAACACTTAACAAGGCAGCTTATTTGTCAGTTTTATTCCTGAAACATTCACCAACAGCCACAGCTAAAGACAGTTGCGAGCACCACTGAGTTTAACCATTCTATTGGAATGCTATTGTCATTCCAAAGACATACAAGCACAGGGAATTAAATGTAAAATATCAATGCAAGCTTGTGGCATAGTGTCTGTAGTACTGTATTTAGAAGTTAGAAAGCCATATTAAAATCCCCACTGAGCCATATCACCTTCTTGAGTGTCAGAGAGAAGAGGAGGGATAGAAATAAGTAAATGGGATGCTCATCTTGTCCTCTAACATCAAAAGGTCAATGAGAGGACTTGGGCTTCAGCATCCTTATAATGTTGGTTTAGTCTTTAAATTAATCACCCAATCATTGGTAACCGTTTTTGATGTGAGTTGCCCACTACTACTTTAATATGTTTTAAAAATGTAATAAGTTTAATAAACAGTTGCACCTTCTTTAAAAGGCTGTATTTTTTCCTACCTATGCACGTTTAAGATTGTCCACTATCGTGGGTGCAGATTTTAGCACATGAAGTCCTCAATCACGTCGTCATATTTGCCAATGCAAAGTTTAAGTGTTTGTTCTTGATACAGGTTGAAGCAACAGAAGCATTCTGTCCTGTTTACATGTTCTGTCCATTGTAAATTATGATACTGTGAAACCCCAGTATCTCTCACAGCGTCTCTGGATCGGCTTCCAATTAATCTTTGCTTTTCTGGTTCAGGAAATGTCTTACAACAGAAGAAACATACATCTTGTGTCTTCTGGATGCCTGTCTCCTCTCTTACTAGTGTTTCTTTTTGAGGTAGAAAACTGTCTCGTACGTTTAAACCGTTCCACATTTAACACCCCATCATTTGCAGCTCGGTCTCTTCAGTTGCGCTTGCTGTAAATGAAAGGAGAACGTAGTTTGAGAACGGATCGATTGGAAAGGAGCAGTTCCAAAATAAAAATATAGCTAAGAGATAATGGCATACAACTCGTGAGCACAGTGGAAACTTGCTGCAAACAGGCCATTAGTGTTGCATAATCTCCCCTAAACAGGGCCCATGTTTATACTACACCTCTCCGAAATCTCTACCAATTAAACCAAGACTTGTAATGGTGAGCCATTCATTCAGTACCATAGATGCAAGTGTCAAGTGTGCGCATTACATCTGCAGCAGCTTTGCAGATGCTGTTTCTCTTGATATCCCTACTTCCTTTTCCAGGTCTGCTCTGGTATCAGTTGTATGGAGAAAAGCCAGTCATGGAACATGGAAAGGCAGTGGAGTCGCCGGGAGGGGGAATGTTGGAGAGTCGGACCAGCTCAGTATCGTTTATGCTAAGTGGCAATGGCTCTCCAGCCACTGCCTTTTTCCCCGCCCTATGGGCGGATGCCAGGGTTCACTGAAAAACAATTGCCAAACTTTTACTCCGGTTTGAAGCAATTCGGAAAAGCTCAACTAAAAACCTCGGTTTGATGTCTCAGTTACTCAGGGTTTTGGGGGGGGCACTGCAAAACACAGGATTTTTGCTGCAAAATGGCTGCAGAACTTTGGCACAGGTTTGGATGGGATCCTAAATTTTGGAGTTAATGAAGCTAAACCAGGGGGACCTTCTATATGCAAAGGAGAGGCTCTTTTCACTCAGCAAGGAAGTTCGTTCCCATCAGCCTCAGCCAAGATGGGCAGTAGTCAAGGATGGTGGAAGTTGTGGTTGTCCCATTCACAAAATCTGATAGGAAGCTCATAATGTTTTATAAAACTGGGCAGCGGGAGGATTTGCGGTCTTGCCTTGCAACAAGAGGCAAAGGAAGCAGGACTGCAACATGTCAAAAGAGGAAGGGACTGTGGCTTTAAATGGACTGGGCATGCCTCAGTAGCAGTATACTTTGTTTTAGCAAGCAGAAGGTCCTAGCATCTCTTGTTTTTAAAAAAATTATCTGTAGGTGATGTGGAAGATTTCTAGCTGAGACACTGGAGAGCTGCTACCACCAGTTGCAAAAGATTTGTCTCCTGTTTAAGGCAACTTCTGACATTCCATGGAAAGGGATATGACAAGTCCGCTTGTTTGCACAAGGGCCCTGGCACAATGGGGCCTTTCTTCTCCGCAGGTGTTCTTAGCTGCCACTGCCATAGTTGCAAAGCAAACAGCCTGCTGTGTTTGTCTATGTCTTTGCATGCTTGAAATCACCTGAAAATCTTTCAAGCCAAATAGATAATGCAGTTTGCAAACAAGGTGCAGAGAAACTGAAGAAGGGTGGGGGGAGATTAAGTCTGAATACTGCAGCACTGTTGCTGGTACAATCAAACCTCGGATCCCGAACACCTCCATTCTGGAATGTTTCGGCTTCTGGACGACAAAAACCTGGAAGTAAATGCTCCAGTTTTCAAACGTTTTTCGGAAGCCGAACATCCGACACAGCTTCCGCTTGGGTGCAGGAAGCTCCTGCAACCAATTGGAAGCCTGCTTCAGTTGTTGAACATTTTGGAAGCTGAACGGATTATGTTCAACAACCGAGCTTTGACTACCGTATACCCAGATTTACACTCGGGGCAGATTTTTTTTAATGTCCTACTTTCAGGGCACTCTTTCCACATTGATTTGCCTGCTAAGGAATTCTTGCCTCCTGAAGAGGTGGGGAAGAATGTCACAGCTGTTTAATATACTGTTGCAGCTGTCTCGTGTGTAACTGTGCTTTGGCATTCAACTTGAGATCTAGGTGTAGATGAGCGTCCCTGGGTCCCGGTGTCCCTTAGACACATTCCCAGGGTGGTGCATTGTAAAAGATGTGCATCTTTTGCAAGTGTGTTTTAAGAGTCGAAGTATGCATACATGCAAGTTTCCTGGCATGCATTCAGCATTGTCTCTGAGTAGGATCAGAGTTCAAATTATGCTGTTGCTGCTGCAGTGTGTAAGATGCCAGTGGCACTAGTTGCTTTAGCGCTCATGCGCATGTATTTTTAAAGTTACAGATGTGCATTAAAGAAATATGCATGTGCTTCCCAGATTAATGTCCATGGAGCTAAACTCTTCTTAAGAGGAATGGAGAACTACAACTCTTGTAATTCCTGATCACTGCTGTAATAATAACATTCAAGGTTTTATATATATAATAAATGTTCATAAATATACCAACCAAGCACCTACATAGATCAGCACAGGAAGACCGACCTGAAACCATTTTGACTCCCAAACTGACCAAATGTTTTCTCTGCAAGGAGGGAGGGGGTCAGGGAGTCTTCCCATTGTCTCAGGAATTGGGAAATCACCATCTCAAAGGGTGACAGACTACCAGGAAAGGCAATCAGATTAGACCTGGCAGACAGGAAAAACAACAACATTCAAATTTCTGTTGTAGTTCACATTTTATGTGATGTATGTATGATATTTGTGGGGGGGGGTGTTGGGTTACACCCCTTCTATGATGTATATATGATGTATGGAGGGGTGGTCTTGAGCTCCAGGGCAGGGAATTTAAATAAGGCCTTGCCTGCCATTGTTTGAGGTCCTCCTCCTTTCCTGCGTGTGAGGGGAGCACCCTGTTGCAACAGATCAATAAAGATCAGGCTTACTAGCTGCTTTGCTTCTCAATATTCATTGGTTGGCCTCTGTTATTTACTCAATAGGGAACCCACGTAAGGACTCTATATGGGCTCTTGGGTACTCCATAAGGGGGAAAAGGCAGATTTTGTTTACAACACTGCTATGTTTGTTAGGGCTGATGGGAGCTGGACTCCAACTGCAGGGTCGCTGGTTTGCGATTCCTGCTGAAGAACAATGTTTGCAACTCGCAATAACAACAATTCAACAAAGCATCCTCCAAAGAGACAACAATTTTCTGGGAATGGATAGCAACTCCCCACCCCCCCACCCCCCAAAAAATCAGGAGCTATCTCTGGCAAACAGGGAACAGGGTCAGTTGGAGCAAGTGAAAGATTATTTGGTTCCTTTATGTGCTGCTGCAAAGGTTACCTTTGATCCGGTGCCTCTCCTTCTGAAACAGCTGCATTAATTTATTGCACAGCCACATGAGGCAGACTAGAATGGCAGACACACCTGTGAGGAAGGCAAAAATGACGGCTACGAAATGCAGGTCTTCATAGATAATCTCTGAAGGAAAAGGGGAGACAGACAACACAGTTGAAGTTGACAGGACGCTTGGAAAAGAAATCACGAGTCACTGAGGGGTATCTCCAGATTATCGCTATGCTGTGGGATGGATTCAGGTGCATACCCTTTATTTAGGTTTGCACAATTAAAGGGGTTTAACGTCTTCTGTCGCCCCAGCACAACAAATGCACTATGAAAAGGAAAAAAACCATAACACTTTTTGCAGCTAGGAAAGTGACAGTGAAGTCCACTGGGAAGTGTGGGGTGAACACATGATTAATGGGAGGATGTCTAATCAAGCAAATCAGGGGGGATGTTCCTTGTTGAATAACCTCCCCACAAACAAATGCTCAGTAAATATCAGATGCCATTTAACCACGGCATAAGCTTTGTGCAACATCACCTTGCCGACAAAGGTCCGTTTAGTTAAAGCTATGGTTTCCCCAGTAGTGATGTATGGAAGTCAGAACTGGACCATAAAGAAGGCTGATCGCCGAAGAATTGATACTTTTGAATTATGGTGCTGGAGGAGACTCTTGAGAGTCCCATGGACTGCAAGAAGATCAGACCTATCCATTCTGAAGGAAATCAGCCCTGAGTGCTCACTGGAAGGACAGATCGTGAAGCTGAGGCTCCAATACTTTGGCCACCTCATGAGAAGAGAAGACTCCCTGGAAAAGACCCTGATGTTGGGAAAGATGGAGGGCACAAGGAGAAGGGGATGACAGAGGACGAGATGGCTGGACAGTGTTCTCGAAGCGACCAGCATGAGTTTGACCAAACTGCAGAAGGCAGTGGAAGACAGGAGTGCCTGGCATGCTCTGGTCCATGGGATCACGAAGAGTCAGACACGACTAAACGACTAAACGACAACAACAAGCTTAGTGCAATCAAATCAGGATGAATGCTGAATAAACAGGTTGTCTGGCAGGATCCCAGCTCAGCCTTGTTTTCTGACAAGCCCTCATTGCTTTTTGACCTCTCTGTTTCCGAATTTCCCCACTGCCACTGTCATCAATACCCTTGTGACTTATCTGGAGTTTGCTATACCTATGCAATAGAGCAGGGATGTCCAACAGGTAGACTGTGATCACTGGATGTCTGTGGCAGATCACTGGCTCACCCCAAAGAAACTCAACAACTTTGGGTCCCCTAAAAAAAAGTTCAACAACTTTGCCCTGCTCTTCTCTTCTAAAAAATGGGGCTTTCCTCCTCCTTAAAAAAAAGCTTAACAACTTACCCCAAGTAGATCGCAGTCTCTTGGGAGATGGCTACCCCTGCAGTAGAGCAATGATATAGAAATGCGCTGTATCTGTTTTGGGTTTTTGGTGGAGGTGGGCAGTCAAAGCAATTGCATTTTGAAATGTTTCCCTATGCAAATAGAAAGCGTTCGCCATCCCATGCTCATTGTTTACTTTCAGGGAGGAGTTGGGGATTGATATGTGGGAAGCATTCAGAAACGGCACAGGTTACTCTCCCCCAGGACTTTATCTTCTGTTGCCATGGTCTGACAAGTCTCCCTCAGCAACGAGAAAGGCAAAGGCAGACAGCACAAAAACACAGAGAGAAGGAGAAGCCACTGACCACCATCCTCTATCTGTTGAAAACCTGATCTTTATCAGGTTTTTAATTATCTATTTCCCATTACATGTTTGTCCTGCTGTAATGCCTTAGGGCTCCAAGATCAGGATAACAAGAGGTAGAATGGCAATCCCCTTGAATCAAAGAATATACATCTATTCATCCAATAAACCTTTAAAACAACAACACACGTTTAGCAAATGATCCATGAGGGCACTTGACCCTGAACCACTGCTGGTAATTTGGTGGCAATGAATTTGCTAGATAAATAAATATCCGTTCATTTATTAGTCAGATGGCAGCTTCTTGGCAAATTCTCGGACATTTACCTGAACAGGTGAATGATCTATCCGTGGGCGTTGTGTTCCTGAGTTCCCCTGCATTGAGCAGGGAAGATCTGCAAGAGGCTTCTAACTCATATTCACCTGGATGTGTGAAAAAACCACCTTGTCGTGACCAGGGACCTACCTGCTTTTGGGTGGCAAGGCAGGAGGTAAAATAAAGAAAGAAGGGAAACCTTTGCCACAGTCTTAAAAGTTTGCCTGCCCCCTGAAAACTCTCCAACAATCACCTTTCCCATTTCTGCGTGAGCCAAGCATTCCTATGAAATTGTGGGATGGGGATATTCAGCCCAGCTTTAGCTCCCAACTCCTGCCGAAGAGCGGGTTGCGAGCAGTCGGCCCTAGAGAAAATATTAAATCCTCTGATTTCATACCATAAACATTCAACAGGATGGTGCCATAGATGGTGATCCCAAACTCTTCCCTCACCGTGACTAAGTAATAACCAGTATCTCTGATATCGACGTTTAGCAGCTGAAGAGAACCGTTGTCATAAATCTTCACTCTGTCTACGTAGCCGCTGGATATGTTGGCGTAGCTTCGCGGTTTCCACTCGGCAATTTTGGACGTGCCCCTGGGAGACGTGTGGGTCCACTTGATGACGGGGGAGCCCCCGAAGGTGTGCGCGACGGACAGCAAAACGTTCTGCGCCACCGTGGTGTTCACGTTGGGTTGTGAGACCAGCAACGATGCTTCTCCTCCTAGGGCTGGAAAAAGAAAGCAAAGGGGAAAGTCGTCCTTTTTTGAGGTGCTGGATTGGCCTTGTCTCTGCTGAGCTAGTGTGGCATATAAACAATGATTTCCTGGAGCTAGCTGACCTGACTGGAAGAATCCGTGACCAGAAAGAAGAGGAATATCAAGAAGACTGGAAGAAATTTAAGGACTATTTGAATAAATATTGTAATATAAAAAATTAGAAATCACTTGAAAGTACCAAACAGGCCTAGGATTAAATTAGGATTTAATTAAATAATTGGGATTCAGAATAGTAAGAAAAGTGAACAAATTAGGAGCTGGAAATACTTTTGTGGAAGAATGATACTGGAAAGCTGTACATGCAGATACAATGAAATTCAGAAGGGAGGGATTTGAGGAAGTCAATTAACAATGTAAATAAAAGTTGGGTCTTAAGGGATATGGGATAAAATTATGTTTTTGGTTTTTTTATTGTTGTGGTTTAGGTTGTTTTTTTCCCCTTTTTGTTTTATTGATGTTTGTATGTTTTTCTGCTGTTGTTTCTCTTTTTTATTAGGTTGTTTTTGTTATAATTGTGAAAACCCAATAAAATTTTTAAAAAACAAACAAACTTGGGTCTCCAGATGATTTTGGACTACAGCTCCCATCATCCCTGATCACTGGTCCTACTAGCTAGGGATAATTGGGAAGCCCTGGCTTACAGCGTTCATCAAGGACCAGGGAGACCAGGATTTGAATCCCCACTCGACCACAAAGCTCTCTGGGTGATATTGGGCTGGGCATTACCTCTCAGCCTAAGCTCACGGGGTTGTTGTGGGGATTGAATGAGGAGGGGGAGACACATGTGTACTGCCTGGAGCGAAAGGTGGGATATAAATGCAATAAATAAAAATAAATTTGGTTGTGAGGAGGCCTGCTATTCAGTGTCACTCGGGATGGACAAATCCGTTACATTTGGTTAACAGACCACTGTATTTTAATACTTTGTTGGAAGCCACCCACAGTGGCTGGGGAAACCCAGCCAGATAGGCGGGGCATAAATAAATTATTCTTATTCTTATTCTTATTCTTATTCTTATCCTCATCATCATCATCATCATCATTATATTTTCGTATATTACGGTATTTTCTCCAATACAGTGATACCTCAGGTTAAGTTCTTAACCTAAAGCTGTTCTTAACCTGAAGCACCACTTTAGCTAATGGGGCCTCCTGCTGCCGCCACGCCACCGGAACACGATTTCTGTTCTCATCCTGAAGCAAAGTTCTTAACCCGAGGTACTATTTCTGGGTTAGTGGAGTCTGTAACCTGAAGCGTATGTAACCCGAGGTACCACTGTACATACATTTTTGTACACATTGCTTGGCTGGAAAATTGCATTGCAAAGGTCAGATATGTTTGTAGCCCTGTTTCAGTTTGCGTATTGTGTCAGAAAGTTAGAACTTGAGAAGAGCATGCGGGATCAAGCCAATGGCCTATCTAGTCCAGCCTCCTGTTCTCACAGCGACCAATCAGATACCACAGAGGGAAATCTGCAAGCAGGGCATGAGCACAAAAAGCACTCTGCCCACCTGGGATTCCCAGCAACCAACATTCAGTAACATGACTGCCAGTCAGAGCAGGCAGCGGGCTTGATCAGTCTTCCCCAACCAGATGCCTTCCGGATCATTTTGGACTACAAATCTCATCCCATCCCTGATTATCAACCATGCTGGCTGGGGCTGTCAGGAGGGCATCAGATCAGAAAAGGCTGAGACAGATGAACACAGATGGCCCCAGTATAAGGCAGCTCCCTATGTTTCTAAGTGATTAATCGACCTGTGTGCTTCAGCCTCAAACAGGGCATTTTGCTGCCCGAGATGGGGATTGACATACAGATGCTGACCAGACTGGCAGTGGGATTTTACATCAAAACTGGCAATGGGACAGAACCCTCCACCAACTTAGAAACCTATAATGGTCCTATGTGGTCCCTATGTGGCCGCTTCCAACTTTGTGAAGTTGGAAGGGACCACATGGGTCATCTAGTCCAACCCCCTTCAATGCAGGATTTGCAGGATTTTTTTTTTTTTTGCCCAAGGTGGGACTTGAACCCACAACTCTGTGATTAAGAGTTCTCATGCTCTACCAACTAAGCCCCGCCCTGCATATGTTATCACATGATGCCCACCATTTGAATGGGGGGGGGCAGCTTGCTCAAATATTTTACAGGGGGTGGGGAGGGACCTCAGACCCTAGAAGTGATCTCCTATGTCCAACCACACCTGAGGACAACAAGGTAGCTGGTCCATAGGACAGGCCATGCGGCACAAATTGATCTGTTCTCCAGCGCATCGCCATAGCTGCCTGCCCTCAGCATCTGCCACCTGAAGCACTTGCCTCACTCTGTCCAATGATAGGGGCAACCAGAGCCTCAAATGTCTGGTTGGGTACTGTGGTTGGGTACACATACAACCATGTATAACTGCATACTGTACAGTGGTACCTTGGGTTACAGACGCTTCAGGTTACAGGCCCAGCTAACCCAGAAATAGTACCTCGGGTTAAGAACTTTGCTTCAGGATGAGAACAGAAATTGTGCGGCGGTGGCGGGAGGCCCCATTAGCTAAAGTGGTACCTCAGGTTAAGAACAGTGTCAGGTTAAGTATGGACCTCCGGAACGAATTAAGTTCTTAACCCGTACACGGTTTGGAAAATATGTAATATATGGACTCCAGATGCCCAAAGGAATAACTCTAGTGTGCAGAGAGATTTTGTGTGTGTGTGTGTGTGTGTGTGTGTGTGTGTGTGTGAGAGAGAGAGAGAGAGAGAGAGAGAGAGAGAGAGAGAGAGAACACCAGGCTGTGTTCCTTTCCAGACCAAGCCCAAATACCTTAAGTGAAAAAAAAACCAGAGAATAGCTCAGTCAGTAGAGCGTGAGACTCTTAATCTCAGGGTCATGGATTCAAGCCTCACATTCGGCGAAGGATTCCTGAGGGTTGGACTAGATGATCCTCATGGTCCCTTCCAACACTGCAATTCTGTGATTCTATTATTCTAAATCTAAGCGACTTGCCATGCCTGCTTTGGCCCACAGCCCAGCAAACGCCTACACTTCACCACAAAGGAAGAAGGGAGCCAAAGGCAAAGAAGATGGAGGAAGACAATTTATTAGGCTAAAGTTCCCCCCTCTAGCAGTGCTGGGCTTTAGGAGCTGCATGCTTAGTTGGGGATTATTAGCAAAAGGCACTAATCTGTTTAATTTATACGCGGCCCTTCTTTCCCGCAAACAACAGAAGCAACTTCGAAAGGTCTTAAAAAAACAATTCCATACAGATGCATCTTGAACCACACAAACACACACCAAACAGGGAGGCAGCAGGGATGGAAGTGATGAGACTGTTTAGGAAAGGAACACACAAGGAACATGTCAGTTGCTGGAAACCAGGAGGAGAGCAGAGGGCTCTTATGCTCAGATCCTGTCTGGCCACTGTGGGACCATGTTCATGGGCTCTTCTGGATCAGAGCAATGACCCTATCTAGCCCAGTATGCCATTCTCACAGCAGCCAAGCAGTGGCAAACCTGCACGCAGGACCCGAACTCAACAATGCACCTGGCACCACAACCTGGTCTGGCGGTGGAAAGAGGTGTGGGGACTGCAAGGAGCCCAAAAGCACTTACTCGGCAGAGCCCAGCCAGCCGTCAGGCAGAGGATGGCGACTGCTAGCCGTACGTCTTGTCTGCAGCTCTGCAGACAGCCGAGAGGCCTCATCAGAAGAAGGGAAACGTTTGCCGGCCTTCATTTAATCCAGTGTCGGCAGAACCGCATGTCAGAATCCAGATTGGGGTGTGTGTGTGTGTCTTGTCCGTCCCACACCCTGTTCTTCTCTTCCATCCCCTGTTCCAAACAATCGGATACCGGAGGGGCTGTGTGGTGTCAGTCTCTGCAGGTTCCCTCAGGTTTCACTGCGTTCCCTCAGACGCAGAGCCTTCCCTCGGAAAACCCACACCGAACTGTGAGGTGAAGGCTGGCTCTTTGCCTCGGCTCTCACGCCCTTAAAATAAATAAATATCTAACCCTCCCTCTGATATTGATTTAGGATGCAATTGGCGGAGAACAGCAGCAGCAAAGCAGTGTAATGTTCCTTTCAGGAAATGAGCCACTCAGCCGGCTCTGCCGCATGACAAGCGGATGAATAATTCCTCTGGTTTCTGTTTTGCCTGTTACACTGCACTGAGCCGGGCTTACTTCTGAGGGAAACCCTAAACTGAGCTGGACTTTGTTCTGGTTCTGAGTAAACAGCCATGGGGTCGTATGCAGCTCAGAGTAGACCCATTGGAATGAAAGAGCACAACTAAGTTAGGCCCATTAATTTCAGTAGGTCTAATTATAGGGAGTAGGAGTGTTTGGTTGTTGATATTTCTTAAAAAGCAGAAACATCACCTTGCCAACAAATGTCCATATAGGTAAAGCTATGGTTTTCCCACTAGTGATGTCTGGAAGTGAGAGCTGGACCATAAAGAAGGCTGATCGCCGAAGAATTTATGCTTTTGAATTATGGTGCTGGAGGAGACTCAAGAGAGTCCCATGGACTGCAAGAAGATCAAACCTATCCATTCTGAAGGAAATCAGCCCTGAGTGCTCACTGGAAACACAGATCGTGAAGCTGAGGCTCCAATACTTTGGCCACCTCATGAGAAGAGAAGACTCCGTGGAAAAGACCCTGATGTTGGGAATGATGGAGGGCACAAGGAGTAGGGGATGACAGAAGATGAGATGGTTGGACTATTTCTGGGTTAGCAGAGTCTGTAACCTGAAGTGTCTGTAACCTGAAGCGTCTGTAACCTGAGGTACCACTGTACTTCTTCATGCAGCGCATAGTTAAACTATGGAGCTCGCTTCCATGGGATGCAGTGATGGCCACCACATTGGATGGATTAAAAACAAGATTGGACAAATTCATGATGGACAAGGCTACCGGCCATGACGGCTATGTTCTACCTCCACTTTCAGAGGCATAAATGCATCTGAATAGCTGTTGCTAGAAACTGCAGGAGGGGAGAGGGTTAATGCGCTGAGGTCCTGTTTGTGAGCTTCCTACAGGCAACTGGTCAGCCAATGTGACAACAGGATACTGGACTGGGGTGGGCCATTGGCCTGATCCAGCTGCCTCTGCTACCATGCACCTCCTAACACATTGCCCCCAAGGGAATGTGGCGCTCAAGTCTCAACAGACAAAAGGTTGCCCGTCTCTGCTGTGAAATCTGAACTTAGATTGCTGATTAAGAGCCACAGTTTTCAAAGGGCCCCTTTCCTTTGCATGTCTGCCTTTGTAAACAGAGATCCATCTTTCAAGATCACTCTGAGTGCAGTTTTCCTGCAGTCTCTTGTGGTTTTTCAAGTTCCTATAAAGAGTGGGACCGAAAGTCATTAATAATGGAACAAAAAGGCATTTACAAATGGAGCACCGGCTTAGCAGGAGCTGCAACACTCCTTATCTGCCATATGTTGCATTAGGGTTTTCGGAAATTTTGCACAAAGGTTACAATTCTGTTTCTTTTCGTATCTCTTCAAATGGTGTGGTGGGTTTTGGCAATTTTAGGATGCTTTAGGTTAGAAGTATCTATCTGTGGGAGATTTGAAATCAAACCTAACAATGCTAGTTAGTATGCGAAAGGGTTATGGATCACAGAGTTCTAAATTGTTAGAGAAGGTTCAGTGGTGTTGCCTCTCCTCTCCTCCTGAGAAGGAAGTAAGGCTCATTTCCTGTTCCATTTCCCCCTCTCTCTCTCTGTCTCTTGCTGCAAGTGACAGAGGCAGACATGCCTAGGGTTGTTATACGTCCGCATTTTTGCAGACATTACTGGGATTTCAAAGGCAAGTCAATTGAAAAATAACAGTTTTTGGCATTTTTGTTAAAAAAAAAAAAAGCTCAACAGCATTGTGTTTTTTTCTAAAAAAAAAGTTGAACAATTTCAGTAGTTGCCTCAACATTCTTTGATGTACATTTTCCACTAAGAACATTTACCTGCATTTTCTTATTACTGATAAGAACAATGTATAACTGTAAGTAAAGTATATTTTAAACTTACTTCAGTATGTAGTCTGTTTCTTGGCAGGAGGGGTAAAGGGAACCAGTTGCCTGAAGTAGTTGGAATGCATTAAAAGAAGGTTTAAAAGCCTCTTCTTGTGTTTCACTAAACCTGCCTAACAGTGGGGTTTAAAGTATGCTACTGGGGTTCTTTATGCACAAGTCCTGCATTTGTTAAAACAGGCACCAGTCATTTTTCTTTTGTTTGCTAACCCACATGTGTGTGTGTGTGTGTGTGTGTGTGTGTGTGTGTGTGTGTGTAGAGGATTAGATATAACTGATCTATCCCCTTCCCTATACCCAGCATATTATTTACCTTAAGGGAATCCCTTTCCACGTTAACTTGTTTTCTGAAGAGCCTCTTTCATTTCAGCAATCAAATCCCTTTGCATGGCAAAAGATTGTGGGGAACATTTTAGGGTATACAATCAGTTAACTACAGACTTATAACGTTGATATACACTGCCTAGCTTCCAGGCTGAGTTAGAATTTTCATTTGAAGCTTTAGTTAATGTAGACATTGAAGTAAAGCATGAGGAGATGAGAGAGGCTGGTCAAACCATAGGGCAGGCTTCCTCAACCTCGGCCCTCCAGATGTTTTGAGACTACAATTCCCATCATCCCTGACCCCTGGTCCTGCTAGCTAGTGATCATAGGAGTTGTAGGCCGAAAACATCTGGAGGGCCGAGGTTGAGGAAGCCTGCCATAGGGCTTTTAAAGTAGACCATGAAAATCCAACAGATTTTTCAGATGGACAAGCCTCCACAACTTGTGAACGGAAATATGTACCTTCTGAAATTAACACTGCAAAATTTTAATTTCAGTGGGTACAGAATGATGGCTGGCTGTTGCAGGTTGGGGGCTTATTAGTCACTTTACACAAGTGCCTCAGAGTGGCTTGCAAATAACAGTAATATACATGGCAAAATATATGGAAGACAACGTAATCAGAGGCGCAATATGAGGTGATCAAACCATCAAAGCCGGTCTTGTTTTATATCATGCGTTTTATTAATACAAAAAGAAAATCAAGTTTCTGAAGGAAGATCCATCAAGTCCAGTATCTGGAAATCACAAACAGAAGGCACTGAGGCAACTGATCTCTCTTATTATTTGTGCTGAGCAACTGCTATTTAGAAACTGAAGTCACTTTCACACCATTCATTTAAACATGGCTTCCTGCAAAGAATCATGGGAGCTGTAGTTTGCTAAGGGTGCTGAGAGTTGTTAGGAGATTCCTGTTCCTTTTCTCAGAGCTACAAATCTCAGAGTTCCCTGTGAAGAGGCATTGACTGTTAAGCCACTCTGGGAATTGTAGCTTTGTGGAGCTCCTCCTGCTGTCCCTCCTTGGGAATCTTTAAAATGTCAACCCTTCAGGCAACACCTTCAAATAGAGGACCGTCCTCTGTAAATTAGGACACATGCTCCACTCCTAGTGTTGATAAAGGATGCATTTCAGAATTGGAATTCCCCCCTCCCCATTACACTGAGGGCTACAAATTTGGCAAAAGTAACCAATCAATTAAGACACTCTGTACAACTAAAAGATTGAATAATAATAATAATAATAATAATAATAATAATAATAATAATAATAATATTTTATTTATATCCCGCCCTACCCAGCCGAAGCTGGGCTCAGAGTGGCTAACAGCAATAAAAGTAACACAGCATTCTAAAATCAGTATTCTAAAATCAATTCAAAGTCAAATGGCAACCACTGGGCCAGAGTTCTACGAGGATCGGCAAAGGAGGGGGTCAGACTGTGCCTTGCAGAAAGATGTCAAGTCCCGCATGGCCCTAGTCTCTTGTGGCAGAGCGTTCCACCAGATCGGGGCCACAGCCAAAAAAGCCCTGGCTCTGGTTGGCCTAACCTCTCTGTGGCTCGGGACCTCCAAAATGTTTTTATTTGAAGACTGTAAGGTCCTCTGTGGGACATACCAGGAGAGGCGGTCCCGTAGGTCCGAGGGTCCTAGGCCATATAGGGCTTTAAAGGTTAAAACCAGCACCTTAAACCTGATCCTGTACTCCACCAGGAGCCAGCACAGCTGGTATAGCACCGGGTGAATATGATCCCGCGGCGAGGACCCCATAAGGAGTCTCGCTGCGGCATTCTGCACCCGCTGGAATTTCTGTAGCTGCAGCACCAATTAAAGGGCTTCAAAGGATTCATGTTTTCCAGAAAGAGCCCAGACATTGGATTAACAGGACTAGGAAGGAAGAAAGGTGTTGGAGGTTGTGCCACAATGGGAGAGGGCCCTTTGCTGTGACTATGGACTTCAACAACAACAACAACAACAACAACAACAAATCACACAACATGGAAGATGACCTCATTCAAAGAGCTAAGGATCCTTCAAGAAGGATCATGGGTAAAATACCAATGCAATTTGTCTCCCATTTGCTCAAAACTCTGTTCTGGCACAGGCAACTCTTTTACGCCTCTGGGGTAAGGAAATGACCACCCTGTCAGCTCGCACGATCTTACAGACGTCCCATCTACGGGGAAGGACGTTGGCCTTAAATAGAAAGGCGGACAGATGCGAGACGGAGACAATGGTCAGCAGAGATACCAGCATGGTGAAGAGCTTAAATGGGAACAGCTGGACGTAGACCCCGTCCACCAGAGAGCATCCTGGGTAATGGATGACCGGGGGTATGTTCAGGGCAGGCTCCCCCGCCAAGAGGCGCAGGAGGAGGCCCAAGAAGAACCCAGCGGCGGAGCCGTAAGTGTTGGTGTTGCGAATGAAGAGGACGCAGCAGAGCTGGGGGAAGAGGAGAGCGTAGACGAGTTCTCCACTCAGGAACCAGAGGTCATAAATGGAATGGGAGTGAAAAGCTAGACCTGCGGACGTCATCCCAAAGATCACCATGGACATTCTCATCGCCCATAGCACTTCTTCCTCTGACGCCTGGAAATAAAGAAATAGGTGTTTTATTATTGGTTTAGGTGCTATTACATTTATAAGCCGCTGTGGAGGTAAGGCTCCGCCTGTGCTGAGGCACACCTTGCACCCGGCATGCCACAGTGTGCCCAGGAGCCTTGCGCCCACTCTCCCTGAACTCTCGCCTCTTGGCTAGCAAACAGTGTTTTCCCCCTGACCATTTCTCCTCTCACAGATTTGGTTACTCGACATAACGCTTGGCTGGAGCATGACCGGGGATGCAGATGTAATCAAGTATCGGGGAACATTTTAGGGAAACACCTGCTGACACGTGTACAGTGGTACCTCAGGTTACATATGCTTCAGCTTACATACGCTTCAGCTTACATACGCTTCAGGTTACAGACTCCGCTAACCCAGAAATAGTGCTTCAGGTTAAGAACTTTGCTTCAGTATGAGAACAGAAATCGGGCTCCGGCAGTGTGGTGGCAGCAGGAGGCCCCATTAGCTAAAGTGGTGCTTCAGGTTAAGAACAGTTTCAGGTTAAGTACGGACCTCCGGTACGAATTAAGTACCGTATTTTTCGCTCTATAAGACGCACCAGACCACAAGACGCACCTAGTTTTTGGAGCAGGAAAACAAGAAAAAAAATATGCTGAATCTCAGAAGCCAGAACAGCAAGAGGGATCGCTGTGAAGTGAAAGCAGCAATCCCTCTTGCTGTTCTGGCTTCTGTGATAGTTGTGCAGCCTGCATTCGCTCCATAAGACGCACACACATTTCCCCTTACTTTTTAGGAGGGAAAAAGTGAGTCTTATAGAGCAAAAAAGACGGTACTTAACCTGAGGTACCACTGTATTTGATAACACTGGAAATGTGCTTAGATGGAAATATGTCATGTTCAGAGTGATTTCACTACTGTTTCCAATTGTTGACTTCTGCTAATAAAAAGAGGCTCTGCGAGGCTTGCTCTTCAGCTTGCTCACACACAGCTCCCTGTATCCAACCTCCTACCGTCCTCCATTATTCTTACAGCCGCCTCTCCTCCAACGAATTCAAGGTGGCGTGCATGACTCTCCTCCTCTCCATTTTACCCGTACAACAACCCTTTGAGGTAGGCTGGGGGCCGAGAGGCGGCGACTGGCCCACCCAGGTCACCCCAGGGAGCTTCATAGCTGAGTTCAGGTGGTCTGCTAGGTCCTAAGTCTGACATGCCTACACTAAGCTGGGTAACTTTTACCAATACAGTGGTACCACGGGTTAAGAACTTAATTCGTTCTGGAAGTCTGTTCTTAACCTGAAACTGTTCTTAACCTGAAGCACCGCTTTATCTAATGGGGTCTCCCACTGCCGGAGCACAATTTCTGTTCTCATCCTGAAGCAAAGTTCTTAACCCAAGGTACTATTTCTGGGTTAGTGGAGTCTGTAACCTGAAGTGTCTGTAACCTGAGGTAGCAATGTATCACTTATTATTACAGTGATACCTCGAGTTACAAACGCCTCAGGTTACAAACTCCGCTAACCTGGAAGAGTTACCTCGAGTTGAGAACTTTGCCCCAGGATGAGAATGGAAATCGTGTGCCGGTGGCACAGCAGCAGCAAGAGGCTTCATTAGCGAAAGCACGCCTCTCATTAAGAACAGTTTCAGGTTAAGAACAGACCTCCGGAACGAATTAATTTCGTAACTAGAGGTACCACTGGATTATTATTTAAATTGTCTTTCTGGGATTTGGGGTGGCCTTGAACCCTGTTGTTACCGGTTCCTGGAAATTCCCAGAAACCCCTTAAATTAAGAATTTTATTTTGTTTTAAAAGAAAGGTCTCTGCGATATTCTTTCTGGTAAAGTCAACTGCTTACCACAAACCCCAAGAGTCATTTTAGCTAATGAGATAATGAGATGAGGAGCCTTGCAATACATTTTACGAAATGTTATGTATCTATTTCCTGTGATCATTCTGTGTGGTGTAACTCTGTGTAACTACTGGCTTCCTATCTTTAAATTTTATTATGTTCCAGTGCATATTTCTGTTGTGGCCTTTCAAGTTTCTCTTTTCTTATAGGGAGAACCTAGATTAGCCTTGCATTTAACATTCAGTTTCTTTCGTTTTTAATACAAATATCATGGGGTGGGGGAAGGGACAATTGACAGCATCAGAGCAGACATGGAGAAAGGATTTAACCTTTTCCTCCCCAGGTGCGGGAAAATCATGCTTCTCTTTTGCATTGGGAGGAAATTCCTGCTTAATTTTCTTTAATTTTATTTCATAAAAATGTATGCACTGCTTGATTGTATATATATAAAAAAACCCTCAAAGCAATTTATGAAAGGAATAAAACTATTTATAGAAACAGTTGCAAGCAACAATTAAATCAGTGTAGAGATTTTAAATGCAGTGTAAGGTAGTCTCTGTGTGAGTACATTGTATTCAATTATGGGGTATCAGAGTTTTTAGGGGCTAACCAGGCTGGGATAGTTTGGATAGCAGGCTTGTTGGTTTTTGAATGTCTGATGTAGATTTTTTTCAATTTCGTTGTTCTGTATTGGACAATGACAATAAAGATTATCGAATCGTAAAATCCATTATAAACTAAAAACAGATTAAAATACAAATCAACATTCTACATATCTGGGTGGGCTTGTCAAAACAAAACAAAGTTTTTAGCAGGCACCAAAAATAATATAGTGAAGACACTTGCGTCCCCCACAGAAGAAGAAGAAGAAAAAGAGTTTGGACTTGATATCCCGCCTTTCACTCCCCTTCAGGAGTCTCAAAGCAGCTAACAATCTCCTTTCCCTTCCTCCCCCACAACAAACACTCTGTGAGGTGAGTGGGGCTGAGAGACTTCAGAGAAGTGTGACTGGCCCAAGGTCACCCAGCAGCTGCAGGTGGAGGAGCGGAGACGCGAACCCGGTTCACCAGATTACGTGACTACTGCTCTTAACCACTACACCACACTGGCCTCCCTCCGCCCGCTGGTGTCGATATTATTCGCAACAACTCACATGTTTCCTGAAGACTTTCCTGTATATGTTGTGAGCAAACAAGGTACCAGCCGAGAGCAAGGCAGAATCGCCAGAAGACATCACAGCAGCAGCCAAGGCGCCCAAGCCACCAAGGGCGACATACGTTGGGCACAGATGGTAGAGAACCAGTGGGAGGATGAGGGCAGACTCTCCTCTGTCGTTGGGACTGGGGAGGCCATAGGCAGTCTGATTCCAGTCTTAGAAAGGAAACAGAGAAGCGTCATGTATGTTAAAAGGTTTGATCATATTTCAGGATGAGGGTTAACGCATGCAAAGGAACAGGAAGTCTTCCCTGTCACTTTTACCAACGGGTAGAGTAGGCTAGGTTAGGAACAGCGTATCGTTGAACGAAATTGGCTGTCCCTAAAATTCATCAAACCCAAGGTAGCAACTTCTTTCTCCCCAGAAGAGTCAGGGAGGATTTGCGATCCTCCGGGTGGTGTTATGGAGCGTGCTAATCTTACCTGTGGAAGCAGCGACAGCCCCAATGACAACAGAAGGGATGGCCATGATGAAGCACCCCAGTCCAGAAAAGTAGGAGATGAGCCTTCCTTCGTTTGGAGAAGAAGCCGAGAGAACTCGCTGGAAATAGATTTGCCATGGGATACTCCCAAGAACCTGGAAGAGAAGCAGAAGGTTATGAACATATCGGTCAGCCTCCCACCACATACAGGCAGCCCCAAAGTCGCTTCAGGCAATGCAATCCAAGTGCTGTTAGGCCTTGTGGCCTTCCGTTCCAACTGAGTCTTGTTTGAGCGACAAAGGGCTCACTCCCAATTTTGCTGTGGTTCCAAGTGGTTTCTCTCTTGCCTTGTTTCTTCCCAAGGGAAAACCCTTAGGAATCTATTCAGCAATAAATGGCAATCTCTTAGCCTCCAACATTCCTCAGGTGAAAGTAGGGACATTTCTGACTCCCGAACAACTGACCCTCCTTGACCACCACCCCATTTTTTGGTCTGTCTCCCCTGCAAAGCATATCCTATCAGAAGAAGGGCGAGTGCCACCGCCACTTCACAAAGGGGACGCAACACAAACAACCCTCCACCGTCCTGAGGGGGGGAAAACCCCTAATCCCGATTTTATTTACAAAAAGAAAACCGCAGAAATAAATGTTAAAAAGGGGCAATACTAGCCTGAGGGCCAAATCCTTAATTCCCCCACTCACTGTGGACCAAACTTGAGCAAAGAGAAGGGCAGTTCAAAGTTATCAGTGTAACCAGTAATGGGGAAGCCGCTTGGAAATCCGTTCTCAGATGTGACTCAGATTCAAATTGTGAAGGGGTGTTTTTCCTTTGCAGACATGGTATACATTTCCCCAGCTCATCCAATACAACTATTTCTACGGTCTGGCCAGAATTTAATAAAAACAGCAAGCACCACCAGCTTGCCCTCCATGTGCCTCGGGAGCAGTTCTTACCAAATACAAGAAGTCATCAAGCCATCTTCCAAGATACTGCACTTCCATTTTTCCAATCCAAGATGCCTGGAAGACGTTGTGCCCAGCAGTGTAGGAAATGCTTTTCGTTGCAGGGTTCATGAGGGCGAAGGGGATACAAACCCACTTGAGGTAAAAAGAGAAACATCAGAATTATTTCCCCACCAGGTTCCCTCAAGGACACCAGACTTGAGCTCTGGTTTGCAAAATATGCTACCACAAGTGACAAAAGGAAAGTAAAATAAAATATCCACTCCTGCTCACCAAAATCCATCAAACAGAGGACATAGGTGAGTGATGGGTTGATAGCTGCTCACCCACAGACAATATTTGATCTTACAAGCAGCTGGTTGCTGATGATTACTATACAGAACTAGCTCTAGTGTGCTTATAGAAACTCCTGCTCACACCTGAAGCTCCAGCTCCACACATGTAGAGAGAGCGCTCATTCACTTTGATGGTGCTCAGATTCACTGCAGGCAAAGATTATCCCCAGACTCATAATTTTGTCCTAGCATTTTGTACCCATCACAGCCTCACAGAGACTGAGACCAAGCCCCATGTGTGTAGAATATGGTTATGGGGTTTTTTTTAAAAAAAAATATCACACCAGCATTTCAAGTGAGTAGTAAAATAACAATATTGGGACTTACCAGGCTGACTGTTATAAAGACCAGCTGTATTACATCTGTATATGCAACCGAGTACAGGCCACCTAATAAAGTATAGATTATAACTGTGCATGCAGAGATAATAATGACTAAAATACCATGGATATCCAAAATGACCTGCATGGTTGCACCTGTGGAAAAAAGGACAATGTTAAGCTACAGTATGAAATTTAATGCGACACCATTTCCCTTACATCATTATATTAGTGTATAACACAAGTGACAGATTTGCTCCTTAAGAGATACAAGCATCAACACAGGGAGAGATGTTCTTCTAGACTAGATGTTTTCCCCCCAACCAGATGCCCTCCAGTTGTTACTAGTCTGCAGTTCCAATCATTGGACTGTGATCATTGACCACACCATCTGGGGCTGATGGCCTTTGAACCCCAAAACATCTGGAGTGCCAGAGGTTGGGAAAGGCTGCTCTAGACATTATGAACATTCCCAGATGTGGAGTTCAGTTCTGATTATTCCTCAGGGTGGAAGTAGGGTTGTTGCAGGACATGGCTGAGGAGGGGTTGTGGCCTAGAGAGAGTGCCAAGGGCCAGAGAGAGAGAGATCTAGAGGGCCACATTGGGCCACCTGGTCTGAGGTTCCTGATCCGACTTAGGGCAAATCACTCCATCTATCTTTCCCCAGCCGTAGACATTTGAATTGGATGAAGTGGAAATGTGGGCTGCACGGACTCATGGGCCGTAATTAAAGCAGTTCCTGCTTTACTGAAACAAGCCTTCAGTCCCTAAGACAAGCAAGAGATATTTAGTTACCTAAGGAAGCAAGAATAGCTGCAAACCAGAATATGTCCCCTATCAACGATGGAATAAACATGAGGCTTGCCATCACATTCCCGTATGTTTCTTGGAGTGGATCCATCATTGTCACGTACTTCTTCGATCTCATTGGATTGACAAAGAAGAGCCCGCCTGTTAAAAAGCAGTTGTATTGCAATTATTATTGTCATCTGGGCGGAAGCAGTGTTTTTAGATACCCAAAATTTCCCCCGAGGAGCTAAAAGTGGCACACGTGGTTCCTCTTTCCCATTTCATCCTTAACAACAATCCTGTAGTCTGAGAGAAGGTGACTGGTCTGAAATCACCTAGCAAGTTTCCATAGCTGAGTGGAGGTTTGAACAGGGGTCTCCTCACACCTGGGCCAGCACTCTGACCTGGGAATAGTCATCACAGTGAACTTCAGAGATGGCTGGATGGAAATCTGCTGGGTTGCTAGGTCATGTGGCTGAGCTGAAAGGAGTTTGAAATAGGGGGTGTCTCCTCCTCTGCCACACCCCTGGAGCACCTCTATTTGGGTATTTCCTAGCTTTGGCTTCACAGGCTCAGAGATGGAGGGTTTGCACTGAAGTATTCATAAATTTAGTCCAGATTCAGCCCAAGATCCACCTATCCAGAAATCCTCTCATCCCAGCGGCTCTTGTGTTTGGACTGCTCCTTGAGAGACTTTTCGTATGTGCGACAAGGGCAATTTGTGAGGAAACAACGTGAACCAAAGTCAGACTTCTGCATTCCCCTTGGACGAGGCTCTCATCATTTCCAGTACTGATTTTTATTGGATGGAATGCAGTGGTACCTTGGGATACAGACGCTTCAGGTTACATATGCTTCAGGTTACAGACTCCGCTAACCCAGAAATAGTACCTCAGGTTAAGAACTTTACCTCAGGATGAGAACAAAAATCGCGCAGCAGCAGTGGGAGGCCCCATTAGCTAAAGTGGTACCTCAGGTTATGAACAGTTTCAGGTTAAGAACGGACCTCTGGAACGAATTAAGTACTTAACCCAAGGTACCACCGTAGTTACATATTTAAGCTTTTTTGAAAACTTTACCAATAAGGAGAGACAGAGCAAATCCTGCTGGGGCTTGGACCCACACGAGTCCTCTTGAAGGCAGGTAGACAATTTCAGCAGTGCCATTGATATATGCTCCTCCAACCCACGTGGCTGAAAGAAAGCAGGAAGAACAGACTTAAACTTGGAAATTCGCTCAAAATGGACATCCCAGCTAAAAATAAATGCTGTGCTGTGCTGCCTTTAGCTCCAGTTCCTATAAGCCTCTGAATAAGGGAAGGACCATGTCTCAGTGATAGAATATTTACATTGCACTTAGGACATCTCAGCCCTCAATCCCTGGCAATGAAAGCCTCTTTTGTAATATTTTCTCTTTCAGACTGACGAGAGGTTTTGTTTATTGATTGATTTTGGAAAAGAAGTGGCTACATGAGAATATGCATACATAGCACCTTTGGTTGGTTGGACGATATTAGGATCAAAATATTTGAAAATTAAGGAAACTCTTGACACAATTAAGTCAGTTAGAAAGATATGGAATATAATGCCGAATAAAAAACAGATTTCATCCACGCTAAATTGACTTTGTGGGGGAATCCCATTTTTAAAATTGGGGAAAACATGGCATGTATGGAAAAATTGGATGGAAGCGGCATAATGACTTTGGATCAACTGATAGATGAGGAAGACGAATTTTATACGTTAAGAGATAATTATCACCCGTCAGATGCATTCCAATAGCAATATCTGCAGCTACAACGTCTTGTGACAAAGAACAACACCCCCATCTCTCCCCTCTCTCCTTCTCTTTTCCCCCAAACGCAAGAGGTCCATGACAAAAACGTCTCTCGCTGCATGTAAACAAACTGCGAAAAAGACTCTATGAATTGAAAGTGCAGACAAAAGATGTACCATACTTTTCCGTCTATAAGACGCCCCCATGTATAACACGGCCCATATTTTGGGGGACTCAGATTTAAGAAACTGGGGGGGATGGCCCCATGTATAAGACGCCCCCTAATTTTTGACATTATTTTTTAGGGGGGGGACTAGTCTTATACATGGAAAAATATGGTACTTTTCCCTATTTGTTTGTTTCGTAGCACAATAAAATCTTTAATAAAAACTAATTAAAATAAAAAACAGTGTTTGCATTGGCTGCTTTTTCAGCCTCAGAGACACCAGAGGTATTAGAACAGTTGTCCAAATCTTTTGAAACAAAAAAAACCCTGGCAATTACTTTTTATAGATATTTGTTATTAATAAATAAGTTTGATATGCAGACTGTAAGAAACAACTGGGGGAAAAGATTTGGTTGTTCCTATAGACCAGGTAGACAGTGTGACAGTGTTTTAGCTTCCATAGCAAAGGCACCAATGAATCTTAAACTAAAGCTTACACAAGAGAAAATAATATTTAGAATCTATTGGACTCCATTAGTTTTGCATAGAAAAGTACTGTCGATTGCAGCTCCTTGTTGGAGGATAATTCCTCTTGGAAATATGGTGTTCTTACAGTGTCCTATTCCCACTAAGTTTTGGGCGAAAGTGTTGAACTGTGTACAACTGTATGGAAGAACTTGAAATATTCAGAAGGAAATATTCTTTCGAATTATACACTTATTATATGGAAGTTGACAAGTGGACAGAAAACGAAAATGATTTCTCTGTGTTCTAAGTATGCCCAAAAGACTGATATTGATGAACTGGAAAAACAAAAATATGGCCCTCTTTAATCAATGGATTGAAGACATGACAGCACTCACAACATATGAACGGATTGCTTATAGATGCAGGCTTTGTTTGGATAAATATATTGATATTTGGAACAAGTGTATACAGAATATAGCAGGTTATTAATAATCATATGTGCATATAAGATATATATATATAATTTTGTATAACTGAAAAACTTTAATATATTAATTAATAAATAAAAAACTTTGGAAAAAAGTGCTTTAAAATAAAATAAAAACTGCTATATTAGTCTATATTGCACCTTCTTCTTTCTTTCCCCTCACTTTATTTTGTATAACTGGAAGAAAAAACTTTGAAATATAAATAAATAACCTTGGGAAACAAGTGCTTTAAAATAAATCAGCTGCAAAAAATTTTCTAGACCTAAGACTCAGATGCAGTAGTTCAGTGGTAGAATACTCCCTTTGCATTCAAAAGTTCTCATGTTTCATCTCCAGCATCTCCCCGTTAACGCTGGGAAAGACCACGGACACAAAAACGCACACACAAACATGAAAACTCTGACTTTCCCCTTCTGAATCTTGGCATTTTCCTGGGCCACTTAATCACCCAGCCACATTTCTGGACCCTGCCTAGATATCAGGTTAGTTCCCTTTAAAAACTGGCAATCCTGTGTCATGACAAAGCCCATCTATAACATCATGATGCCTCACACCATGAGTCATTAGAATTGTAAGTTGGAAGGGACTCCAAAGATCTTATAATCCAACTCCTTGCAATATAGGAATCTCAACTAAAGCATCCATGACAGAGGGCCACCCAACCTCTGCTTAGAAACCTCCAAGGAAGGAGAATCCACAACCTCCTTGGTTTTTGGGAAATGGGTACTTACCGGTAGCGGTGAACAGTCCAAGGCAAAACCCCATTTTCCTGTTTCCCACCATGGCCACTTCACTGGGCTTCCTGCTTTTCAGCTTCTTGGCTTTCCATGAAGCCCATATTCCAGTTGCTAAAGTAACAACATAAAAGGCAACTAGGGCCACCAAGCCGCTTGTGCTCAAAGCCATCTTCTACAGCTATCAGGAGCTGTGAGTTTCTGGCGGTGGAGCCAAGTTCAAGCAGCAAAACGCCTGTGTCTTGTTGGACAGACCTTCTGCAAACTCTTCCACTGGCGAACTGTTGCTATCTGAAAGACTAAATTGGGGTGTGCACAAAGTGGGAGCAGAGCAGTTTATGACGTTGGAGTAGGACCCCGCCTATCTCTCTCTCAACAGACTAAACAATCTCTGCTTGCGTGTCCTTAAATACCAGGAAAAAATGAGAGATTAATGGAACAAACAAAAAAGATCCAGCATTGGCATTGTGGGTCTTGGAGCAGTGGTTCTTAAAGGGCGTTGCAGATCACACTGGATGGCAAGCGTGGCAGGAAGATTCAAGGACAATCGAAGAAACTTTTAAACATGTCAGTGTACAGCACAGAATACTATCAAGTTCAGAAAAGAGAAATGTTTCTTTGAATTGATGAGGAGATGTGAGTGTCTCAGAATAGACCTAACATACCGTATTTTTCCGTGTATAAGACGCCCCCATGTATTTTGGGGACTCCAAATTGAGAAAATGGGGGGAGTTGTTGAGCTTTTTTGGGGGGGGGGGTGCTGAAAACCGCTCACCCGCAGGACCTCCACAGCCAATCGCACGCACATCGACGAAGCCACCAATCTTCGGCACACAAGCAGAAAGCAAGCGCCAATTGCCCGCCCTATTGCCGCAGCAGCCAATTGCCTGCAGAACTTGCCGCACCGGCTAATCACCTGAAAATACACCGCTGGCAATCTCCTGCTCGCGGCAGCCACCAAACGCCCGTCCCACCTCTCCACTACCCGTGTATAAGACGACTCAAAATTTATAGCATAATTTTAAAATAAAATAACCTCGTTTTGTACACAGAAAAATACGGTAAATGAGATTACCCGGCAATATCAAGCTCATTGAGTTTGTAGGCATACTTAAGGTACATTTTACGCAAGAGGCTGGTTTGCAATTATATTTTGGGAATGATCCATGTCCTTGTGCAGCTGCATTGTGCTATACTTTCTGGATGCCCCATTATAAAGTAGTTGTGTTCTGTGTTAGTTGTGGCGGCAAGGTGGCAGCACAGGGGTTACAGCGGGGGCAGGGAGGGGGCCTGAATCTGTGGGCAGTGGCGGGGAGGGGGGATGTTTTGCTTACAGTTTTGCTTATGTAGAAGGTCCCAGGTTCAGCTCCTGTCTGAAGCCCTGGAGATCCACTGCCAATGATTGTGCGAAATACTGAGATATGGTGATCTAACTTGGTGCAAGGCAGCGTCCTACATTCCATTTTAGAGCTCATTTCTCCTTGTGTACACATTGTTGCAAACCATTTCTCCGATATGATGCATTTTAACGTTACTTTCAACATTATGTTTTGATGCATGCTTTCTAATTTTTGTTGTTGTTTAGTCGTTTAGTTGTGTCCGACTCTTCGTGACCCCATGGACCAGAGCCCGCCAGGCACTCCTGTCTTCCACTGCCTCCTGTAGTTTGGTCAAACTCATGCTGGTAGCTTCAAGAACACTGTCCAACCATCTCGTCCTCTGTCGTCCCCTTCTCCTTGTGCCCTCCATCTTTCCCAACATCAGGGTCTTTTCCAGGGAGTCTTCTCTTCTCATGAGGTGGCCAAAGTATTGGAGCCTCAGCTTCAGGATCTGTCCTTCCAGTGAGCACTCAGGGCTGATTTCCTTAAGGATGGATAGGTTAGATCTTCTTGAAGTCCATGGGACTCTCAAGAGTCTCCTCCAGCACCATTTGTTCCTTTTAATACAAATCTGTTTCTGTCTCTTTTTATTGGAGAGCTGCACTGCAGAATTCAGAGATGTTGGATTTTGTTGCATTCCTGTTTGTATCTTGTTTTGGGAAGTACAAATCAGGTAGGTTCGTGAATTGAACTGAATTTCTTCCTTGTTGCTAGGAAGAGTGGATACAAATTAATAAAGAACATTTAAACTTAGAAGGAACGTGCTTTGGAATGGGGGGGGGGGAGCATACAAGAGAAAGAAAGGGAGAGGGAGAGCGAAGAGCTCAAGCATTAGAGTAGCCTTGTGCAAGTCAATGTCTTTCAGCTAGGGAACTGCAATTTGATCTAGTTCACATTTAAATGTGAACTTATGTAATTCACACTTGCCTAATTCACAAAACAAGATGCAAACCAAAACATGCTCATCCTTTGCAGTTAGCACTTTTCCGAATTTTGCAATGCAGTTCTCCAACCAAGGAATGTGTATGCAAATGTATGTACTAGGGCAAAGTGTATATTAGTGAAAACAAGGTACAAAAATGCATTGCAAAAAATGTGTATATTGGGCAAAACTGCATAAAAATGTCCCAATTCACACTAAAATGATGAATCTTACCGAAGTCTTTAAAAAGGAAGAATTTGCAAATTGATGTGGAAACATGAAGAAGTGAATTAGAGATTGGAAAAATGAAATCACCAATCTCTACTCTTAGCCTAACCTACTTTGCCACTGTTTAGGAATTTAAAATTCAAGGCGTTCATCTCCTTTGAGGAAGAATGTAATTGTCCTGCAGCAAATGGATATGAAGCAAAATGTGGTTTTCAAGATTGGATACGTGTGCAAGCCTGCCTGAGCGGACTCTGCCATGCAGCCTCCTTTAGCCAGTCGTTCTTCCAGCTAATAAAAGAAGCATGCCTCAAATAATAATACAACAACATTTAATATTTACAGGCAAGACATGATACAGACGGAAGCCCAGATAAGAAACAAGACTGGTTTAAATGCACACGTCTCTAAAACAAGGTAAATTGTAAGGGTTCAGAATATACACCATTTGCTTGTCCATTCTAGACACCATAAACATCTATCTCTGGCTCTCTCTTTCCTGGGATTAATCTCAGGCACCTAAGAACATAAGAACCTCTACTGTCAACTGAAGCATCCTGATCTCACAGTAGCCAACCAGAAGAGGCATACTGATTCTGACTGTAATGTAAAACACATTGTGTGTGTGTGTGTGTGTGTGTGAGAGAGAGAGAGAGAGAGAGAGAGAGAGAGAGAGAGAGAGAGGAGGAGGAGGAGGAGGAGGAGAAGGAACAGGGCAAGATTTTTGTTTGCATGGTTAGTACACAAAAACTAGCTCATTTATAATAATAGCTGTAGAATCTGCATGTGGGACAGAAGATTAAATATTGCTGGGGCACTTTGGCTTCTCTTTGTATTGCACCCAGCAGTGTAAGGGGCCTTTTATTCATGTTGCTATTCCACATGGCGCAGGAGCATGTCTGGATCAAACAGCATAATTTATTTGCTAAAAGCCAATGGGTGTAACCAGGATTTATGTTGGGGGGGCAGGACACCCACCTGTCCTTTGCTTGATCGCAAAAGGGAGATGGAATAAATGAAACACAAGAACGTAAGGATAGGCTAGGGTTACCAGACATTCCCGAGGACAGTCCCTGGATTTGCAAATCTGTCCCCGGACAAATTCCATCCCCAGAATGTTCCCAGATTTGCAAATCTATCCCCGGGAAACGTGGCAGCAGCAGCCTCAGCAGCCTGGAGCCAGCCTGGTAGCGCAGTTGGCTCTGGTTGGCTCCGAGCTGCTGACTGCTGCTGCCGCTGCCAAAGGGGAACCGGGGACGTCTGGCGGTACAGATCTCTTGCCCCCTTCCCCCTTTGTTTTGACTGATGGGGGAGGCTCGGGCGTTGCGGATGGGCGGCCGTTGCCCAGGAGGGGTGCAGTTTCTCTGCCGGGCAAGGCACAAAGCCCTTCTTTCGTACCCTGTGAAACATAAATGTACAGTGTTTTTAAAAAACTGGGCAATGGCGCGCTGCCCAGCCATGACTCCCAAGCCTCCCTCGATCTCCTGCCCCCTTCCGCCCTTTGTTTTGACAGATCAGGGGAGGCTCAGGAGCCGTGGGTGGGCAGCCATTGCCCAGTTTTTTAAAAACTCTGCGCATTTATGTTTCACAGGGTGCGAAAGAAGGGCTTTGCACCTTTATACAATATGCATGTGTGCTTGGGCCCAGGGTCTTTTGCCTCACCATCCCCACTACTGACTCCCTGTTGCTACTCAGCTTTAAAAAAAAGTGTCCCCAGATTCATTGAAAAAAATCTGGTAACCATAGGATAGGCTGCAGGATCAGGCCAGTGGTCCATCTAGTATAATCTCAGAAAAGTCCTAAATAAATTACACACAACCTTTCCCCCTACCTATGTAGTGTTTACCTTTATATATAAAAAAGAACGTTTTGGGATTCTTTCTGTGGTTATAAGAATCCGCTGTGTTTCTGGTTCCTATAAATCTGAGGTGGGGAACCTGTGACTCTCCAGATATTCCCAGGTTACATGCAACTCGCATGATTCCTGACCATTGGCCATGCTGGCTGAAGCTGATGGGAGTTGGGAGTCCAGCAATATCTGGAGGGCCCCAGGCTCCCCACCACAGCTATAATTATACAACACACACTATCCTGACTTTACACATGTTGGCTGTTGGTTGGTTGTCTTTCGTCTTCTTCGTAGGCTGGTCACATTCCTGCAATATCCGTCTGCAAGCAAACAAAAGAAGGGAGGATGAGTTCTCTTAACAAAATAAGTCAAGATCGCAGTCAGATAGCATAGTTCCATTTTAATTTTTCAGAATTTAATTTAAATGTCTGCTGTAATAATAACAACAAAACTCTTCACTTGGCCCCAGATAGGGAGGAGACATATCTGACCTTAACTGGAAAGGAGTTCCATGAACTTGGGCCTGCAATACAGAACACACGGTTCTGGTGGATACAGGTTGTGCACCCAAGCTATGGGGAACCACCATATTAGGGTTGCCATATGCCCGGAAATTCCTGGACATAGCTAGGATTCGGCCGTCAGAAGCAGGGTCCGGACGGAAAGCGCTGAAATGTCCTGGAAAATCTGGAAGTATGGCAACACATGTTGGAAGCTTTGGGGGAATTTCCTTTAAAAAACTATTTCAAAATTCACTTTTTGAAATATGGCAACCCTACGCTATATAACAGCAGGCCAGGTCAGGCCAATGGTCCATCTAAATCTAGCATCCTGTTCTTATAGTGGTCAGGTACCAGTGGGAAGCATGCAAGCAGGATTCGAGCACAACTCCTGGCAGATAAACATCTATATATTACACTCCAGGTAGCCAAATTTGTGCCGGCAGCAAGTTTTCCTTTTATTCCCTGTCGTCCATTGTAAAGGCCTTTGGCTATATACAATAAAAGTGACTGGATTCGAGCCCAATAGCACAATCTTCTCCTGTGGTTTTCAGCAACTGGTATTCAGAAGCATTGCTGCCTCCCACCATGCCAATTTTATCATTGTACAGTAGGCCATTTTCCACACACACACACACACACACACACACACACACACAGACTCCTGTCTTCCAGCCAGTCAGCCAAGAGGAATTATCACTGTTCAAAGACACATTCCAGTCAGGAGGGCCTAGAGCACGGATGAGGAGGGGCAGGCCTGGAGAGAGGTTGGGAAGAGTCCTAAGACCTAAGAGAGAGGCCTGAGGGCCACAGTTGACCTAGAGGCCTGAGATTCCCCCAAATAGGAACACAGTCATACCTCATGTTACGTTTGCTTCAGGTTGCGTCCCGTGGTGACCCGGAAGTACCGGAAAGGGTTACTTCTGGGTTTCGCCACTCGCGCATGCGCAGACGTGCAAAATGACAACATGCACATGCGCAGAAGAGGCGAATCACGACCCGCGCGTGCGCAGACACGGGTTGTGTTCTTTTCATGTTGCGAACGGGCCTCCGGAACGGATCCTGTTTGCAACCAGAGGTACCACTGTACAACCTACCTACATTGAATACAAATGGGCAACTGTAGCAGTAGCCATGCAAAGGTGGGCCAAAGGTTCCCAATATCTGATCTGAGTGGAAAGCAAACGTTTCACAGCTAAAACCCAAATGCAAAATGGCCGACCAGTTTCGTTCCTTCATAAACCAGTTCATTCTCTCAAATGTAGCTCATGGTTTTCTAGACCTCATTCGCACAACTGTTTTTATAAGGAATATATTCTATGCCCCGTAATGCTTGCGTTGCCTATTCTTCTATCTTCCCCCGTTCTGCTACACTTTATTGGAGGTGGGAAGATCTGAAGTGCGCATCCCAATTGTCTCTCGTGCACTCACCTTTCTTTCCCTCAAGCCACGTATGAACCCGATGAGACTGTTGACCACTTGGATGAGGCAGAGAATGGCTTCAGCCAGGCCGATTGCCAGCAGGAGGGAAAACAACACAATGTTCCAAAGGATGATATTTTCGGGTTTTTTGCAGATGCTCCAGGTTGTCTGGTTAAACAAATAATTGTCCCTACAAAGGGAGAGGTCAAAACTGAGTTTTGCTACAAACTTTCAGCTGAGAAATACTTCCTTCATCAGACTGAAAGGCTGCATTCAGGAATTATAGTAAACAATGGTTTATCATAACAGGAATAAGTCTAGCCTCCATCTGGTCCACAGACTCCTTCCGCTTCCCCGGTGCAGCTGGGAAGAGGAGTTCAGAAACTTTTCCTTCCTTTTTTAATTAACCACACCTTGCAACATCATCTGAACCCAACAAACCATAGTTGATCTTAACTATGACTTGTCTGAAATGAACCAAATTCCTAGTGTAGCTTTAATTTCCTAACAGTCTTAGTTCATTTTAAGGCATGGCTCATGGGGAACTCGATATAAAGTGTTACAGGATTTTAATCTATATATAAAGCAATTGTTTATTGATGTGTTGTGACTATGATCACTTTGTGAGGCAATTGGCCTAAAAGGTGGTATAGGTAAAGGGACCCCTGACCGTTAGGTCCAGTCGTGGCCGACTCTGGGGTTGCGGCGCTCATCTCGCTTTATTGGCCGAGGGAGCCAGTGTACAGCTTCTGGGTCATGTGGCCAGCATGACTAAGCTGCTTCTGGCGAACCAGAGCAGCGCACGGAAACGCCGTTTACCTTCCCGCCGGAGCGGTACCTATTTATCTAATTGCACTTTGATGTGCTTTTGAACTGCTAGGTTGGCAGGAGCTGGGACCGAGCAACGGGAGCTCACCCCGTCGCGGGGATTCGAACTGCCGACCTTCTGATCGGCAAGCCCTAGGCTCTGTGGTTTAAGCCACGGTGCCACCTGCATCCCAAAGGCTTAGGCTCTCATATTCCATGGCTTAGGCTCTCATATTCCCCTTCACTCCTGAAGCACACTAGTTTTCTCTCTTCCTCTTCTGGTTTCCAAGAAACCTCCACAGTTTCTTGTTGCATCCAAAGACAGCAAACTATAGTGACCATAAGATTGCCTCCAAGTTGAAAACGCACCTCCAAAGCACGGTTTCCAGCTCTTACTTTGAGGCCCTTTATAATCACCTGCAGCTTACATGGTTGTCATCATATTGGGGGGAAGGGAGGGTAGGCTGTGCTTCCTGGCTCTGCCCTCTCCATCAAGCGTGTTGTGCCCCCCCCCAACAGACCCCTTGCTACAGCAAATGGGAAAGTGGACAGAAGAGTGGGAGAGGGGGAAACTGGGCAACCCGGCAGCTATGTCCTTGCTGCCGCGGTATATACCATTTTTTTGAACAAACTTTGCAGTGGTGATGTTGATGGTAGAGGTGCTCCATTATACTCACACTAAGCTGTCATTCCTGAAAGGGTAGATGTATACTTCGTCACCAATATCACAGAGAGGACCGCTAATTAACCCCAAGGATGAGATGATCACACAGTACAGTCCACCGAGAGCTCCAAGCACAGCAAAGACGAGAGAGAGGACCATCTGCAAGGCAATAGACACGTTAGCATCAAAGCCGTTTGGAACTCCAAAAGGTGTATGTAATTTTGACCTGACCAGCAGTGGGGTTGATCCCCTGCCTGTTCACCTGAACCTAGATAGGCCGGTGGAACCAGCAACTACAGGTACTTCCAGACAGTTGCAATTCTCAGGTGGGATTCCATCCCACATTTTCAAATTCAGTTTTGCACAATTATACTTGACTGAGAGACCTTGCTCAATGAAGCAGCTTCCCCAAAAGTTGGGCGGGCGATAAGGAAAGTTATGAGAAAACACTGTGAGGTAAAATTTGCTGTGACATAACACAGTCATTTAACCTGTCTGCAAGCGGATAACGAGAGCAAACGCTCGTCAACTAACCAACGTCGTCCCATCTCACTGCAAACAAATCAGGACAGATTCTTAATAAACAGGTTTTCTGGAGGAACCCTCCAGGCAACTTTGAGGCACACAGCAAAGAAGCCATGATGGATCAAAGATAGATTAAATATGCAACTCTGAATCATCTCTGAGTGAACTGTTTGCAGTTTTGTGCTATGCGGCAGCCTCCTACGTGAGACCTTGGCATTCTGAAGGATGAGATTAGAAGGAAGCATTGTGCTATCACCAGAACGAGACGTCTCCAACATGAAGAACAGCGAGGAAGCAAAACAAAAGCGAAACCATAACACGTTTAGAAAAACAGGCCTTGGAGAGAGTCAAATGATCAAAAGTGCCTGCACAAAGAACCACTGGTGAAGAAAGGCCCTTGCATATGCTATCCCTCCTCCCAGACTGTGGTAAATCAGACTATGAACACAAGTAATGAAATTTATGCAAAATATAGAGAAGTCCAAACCCTGGCCCAGTTCCGGATCAATATGAAAAAGCGTACACTGATAATCTGATCTCACACCAATAGTCTTTTCTTCGACTTCATTTTAACCCACAGGCAAATGTCCTCATTCTGTGTGCCCAGTTTTGTTTTTATCTTTTAATTTTTGTCTGCTGTTATAAGTGTTCTGTGTTTCATATGCGGTACAAACCGAAATTAAAAAACCATATATGTACAGTCACACCTCGGCTTGAAGTTGCTTCAGGTTGAGCGTTTTCGGGTTGCGCTCCACGGCGACCCGGAAGTAACGGAATGCGTTACTTCTGGGTTTCGCCGCTCGTGCATGCGCAGACGGTCAAAATGATGTCATGCGCATGCGCAGAAGCGGCGAATCGCGACCCACACACATGCAGACGCGGGTTGCATTCTGCTCTGGATGTGAACGGGGCTCCGGAATGGATCCCGTTCGTATCCAGAGGTACCACTGTATATGGTGTTTGTGTGTGTGTAATTTTTGTACAGATGATCCGCAGGCAACTTTTCTTGTTTTTTGTTGCCTGCTGCTTATATATCATCTTTCTGTACTCTCGCGGACCCTCCATGTGTCCCGATTTTCCAGGGACAGTCCTAGAATTACAGAAGCCATTCCAGATTCTGATTGGAACCTAGAATGCCCCTATTTCCCTTGCCAGCGCTGCTGCCGTCGCCAGGCTCAAGGAGGAAAACGAGCTGGCCCTTGTCCCAAGCAGCAGCGGCAGCAAGGAAGCATCCCATAACCTCTCCGTGGCTGCTGCTGCTGGCCTCCTGCCTTGGGCAGCTCAAAGCAGCTGCTGGAGAGCAGGCAAGGAGGAGAAGCTGCTGTCACGTAGCAGCTCCGAGGGGCAGACCCAGGAAATGGGCATAGCCAAGGGGGGGCTGGGGGAGCAGCTGCCCCCCTAGATCAAGTTAAACAATAGAAATACTTAACTAACTGACCAATCACGTTGGCTGTGCCCCCCCATAACAGAAGTCCCGTCCGCGTCCGCCCCCTAACAAAAATTCTGGCTACACCCATGGGCAGAGGGCAGGGCCGCTCTGGGTGGGGGAGAAAGGGGAGCAGAGTGCAAGGATTATTATTTTTTAATAAAAAGAATTGTGTGTCCAGGTCTAATCTTCTCCTTTTCTAAAACTTATTTATTGGTGTGCGTTTTTATTTTTGTAAATACAGTGGACGCTCGGGTTGCGAATGTGATCCATGCGGGAAGCACGTTTGCAACCCATAGCGTCCGCAACCTGCAGCGCCGCGCCTGCGCATGCACAGGTTGCGATTCGGCGCTTCTGTGCATGTGCAAAGCGCGGTTTAGTGCTTCTACGCATGCGCAAGCGCCGAAACGTGGAAGTAACCTGTTCCGGTACTTCCAGGTTCGGCTCAACCCGAAATCTCGCAACCTGAAGCGTCTGAAACCCAATGTATGACTGTATACCAAATAATTTAAAGGGGGGTAAGGGGTTCTCTCAGGATGGGGGGGCATGTGCTGGTGGGGGGGGCACTTGTCCTTCTCCTGACAGGAAAATCTCTGCAGGAGGGGACACAAAAAATGGGGCACTAAGGAGGGTGAGCTGAGGGGTGGGCAGTGAGAAATGTCCCTATTTTTATCTGAGGAATGTTGAAACGTCTGCTTCAACAGTTCCAGCTAAGGGAACTTTACATACAGCCCTGGAATGGTAATAATCAACTTTATTCCAAGCTTTTAGGGAACCAAAAAAGGGAACTTAGAACTTCTGTTTTACAACTAAATTGGCTGGCTGGAGGAAGTAAGGAGGAGACTATATTAACTGTGCCACTTACTGCAACTGATCGCTTTGTCAATATAGCTGTTAGTTTGGGCCATTATAAGTATTGCTTTGCTTTAAGTTCCTCGGTTTTCTTAAAATTTCATAGGTGATTTGCTTTAAATTTCATTATTCTCTCTAGATTCTGTATTACTCACCCAGCGTTTGAAGAAGTAGAGAAGAATATTAAGGGGAAGGGAATTCAAAACAACCCAGCGAGGACTGACTTTTCTCATTGACCCTGGAATGCTGACTAAGAGATGATGTGGAGAAACTGGGGCGAAGGGGAAACAGAAAGGGGCATTTCTCTCCCCCCAATTTACAAGGCTTTGCTTACCCCACATCTGTTAGCGCAGCATTTGGCTTCACCCGCACCCAATATCATAAACGCTGGCAAGAAAACCTGGAGGAAAAGGAAAGCACACATTAAATGGTGGTGGAAGAAAGCAGTAGTTGTTATTACCCAAACAAACAAAGGCTTTTGCCAAGACACAATTGTGTTCAGTGTTGAGGGCAGCTGACACGCATGAGAAATGAGAAATCAAGCTGAAGGCAAGTGATAGAATTCTAAACAGGAGTGCCGGACGGGGTCTGATAGTTATTCTTCCTGTCTGCAAATAGACATTTTTGTAGTGGTAAGGATGGGACAGAAGGCTGATCGCCGAAGAATGGATGCTTTTGAATTATGGTGCTGGAGGAGACTCTTGAGAGTCCCATGGACTGCAAGAAGATCAAACCTATCCATTCTGAAGGAACTCAGCCCTGAGTGCTCACTGGAAGGACAGATCCTGAAGCTGAGGCTCCAATACTTTGGCCACCTCATGAGAAGATAAGACTCCCTGGAAAAGACCCTGATGTTGGGAAAGATGGAGGGCACAAGGAGAAGGGGACAACAGAGGATGAGATGGTGGGACAGTGTTCTCGAAGCTACCAGCATGAGTTTGACCAAACTGCGAGAGGCAGTGGAAGACAGGAGTACCTGGTGTGCTCTGGTCCATGGGGTCACAAAGAGTTGGACATGACTAAACGACTAAACAACAACAACAACAAAGGATGGGACAAGAACAGCCCTGAAGGATTTCAGAGTGGTTTCGCTTGAATGCGGGAAAGTCATCTGTGGAAGGTGTCTATTGGGTAGTGCCTATAACATCATAACTACACTTCCCTGCCCCAATTTCCAGAGCGGTTTTGTAACAATTTATCACAGGACACTTCCACATATGCAGCAGTATATTGTAGCTGTGGTGCTGTTTATGCATGCAAGTTCACATAAAAATGGTGCCACCCCTTAATTCAGATTTACTACTGTATTTACATGAATTCTAATGTGCCATTGAATCTAACACACACCTCAGATTTTCAAAACCTTGAAACCAAAAAAGTATTCGCCGGCAGATGTAAATGCGCCATCAAATCTACTGCACATCCTAATTTTTGCGACGTCGTTTGGCCAAAAAAAGGTGTGTGTTACTTTCAAGTAAATATGGTATTTTGTTGGTTGTTTCTTTCTCCTCACCAGAAGAGCTTCTGCAGGTGTAAATCTGGATTAAATAGGGAAATGATATCATTTCGCTGAGGGTGACGTCCTGTAGACATAGCACAAAACTTGTAGGCATGAACAGCACAGAGCCCATAATAAATTGTCATTTGGGGGGTGAGGAGGGTTAACTGGAAACTGAATACATCAGTGAGTAGAGTTATGTGCACCACTTTGATTTGCTAACACACACACACACACACACACACACACACACACACCACCTTTTCTTCCAAGGAGCTTGAGGTGGTGCTGATGGTTCTCCATCTCCCCATTTCATCCACACAACAACCCTGTGAGTTAAGTTAGGCTAAGAATTATTGACTGGCCCAAGGTCACCCAATGAGCTTTTATAAGGCTGAGTGAGGATTTAAGCCCTGGTCTCCCAGGTCATAGTCCAACACTCTAACCATAACACCACATCAAGTCTAGGCCAGACACTCCATTTCAGAACACCTGAGACTTTAAGGATATTGCTGAAGTTTCTTATCTCAGTTGCAGAAGGGAACTGGTGGCGGAAAATGGAAGTTCAGCAACCCATTGGTGCTCCCCCTCTCATTTCTTGCGACACCCAAAGCCAACTAATTCCTGGAGGCCCTTCTGCACAATCTGCACATTTGCTTTTTATTTTATCTAGCCTCATTCCAAGGACAATTGTGTGCCATAGAGGACATGGTGTATTTGTTCTCTCACTCTCTCTATCTTTTGCAGCTAAAGTGGAACTTTGCCAGAAGGCTGGCATAATGGAGAGATGTTCTCGGTTGTTCAGTTAGCACAGCCCAGAATGGTGCCCTCTGGTTCAACTTCCTAATTGACCCAGGAATTCTAAGCACTTCTTAATATTGATTACGTGAGTCACTTTTCCTCACACAACCCTCCCCCCGTAAAAAAACCTTCCATCTGCTTAAGGGACATTTTTATAGCCTCCAACAACAACCATTTGTATGCCTTCCCATCAGATTTCAATGAGATAAAGAGCTACAGAACTTTTATAAGACATCTGAAGGCAGCCCTGTACAGTATTGGGAGGTTTTTAATGTTTGATGTTATCTTATGTTTTTATGTGTGTTGAAAGCCGCCCAGAGTGGCTGAGGTAACCCAGCCAGATGGGCAGTGTATATATAATAAAATTATTATTATTATTATTATTATTATTATTATTATTATTATTATTATTATCATTCCCTCCAACTAACAGTTGTTGCCATTTTAAGAGTTTAAATCCACTAACCAGTTGCTTTTGAGCCATTCGTTGACGGATTTGTTTAAATCAATATGTGCTTTGCCCCAAATGATAAGTTAACCTCACATCAAATTTTCAAAAAGGCTATCATGCAATGCAAGATGGGGAAGCAATCTTCAATATTTTGGCTTTCATTACAGTAAGACACCAGCACCGAAAGAGCTATAAACATAACACACTGAGGGGAAAGTAGCCCTAAAAAAGTAAGCAATGGTGCCTTAATAGAGAGATACTCTTCTGGATTTGAATCAAGCTTTTCTGGATGTAGCGTGTTCAGTGACCATTTCGTTTTCATTCTAGTGATGAATGGAGAGTAAAGCCCTTGTTTCTGGAATCATGAGGAAGGTAAACGTTTTAAAAGGCTCCCCAGGGAAGCAGCAGTAAAACACCAGCCGTTATTTAACAACGAACCGATGGTGTCCAAAATGCAAACAGTACAACGGTGGTTGCAGGAATGAACAATCCGCCAACGGTCAGCGCATATGTCATTTCACGGGGAAACATAAACTTTAATTGCAGCAGTCTGCATTAAGGGTCAATATCTACTCTCAAAGTGCTGTTGTCGGTATTCGGAAGATCGATGGGAGCGCCTCCCCCTTCGCTGTTCTTCATGCGCATGTCTGACGCCAACCAATCTGACCTTAGGCTATTTCTATTTAAATGTTTCCCAAGAAGTTATATTCTGACTGAGAACACAAACCACACTGCCTCTCTGCTCATGCCTTGCTTTGATGATGACATTTGGGTGCTTCTTTTAAAAAGCAACGCATTATAAATCAGCTTTTTTCCCTGAAGGGGGCTGGTTGTGGCCTCCCATATGTCTCTTATCTCATACCCTGCAACATTCCTCACATGAAAATAGGGGCATTTCTCTCTCCTCACCCCAATTGCCCCCACCACCCACAACCAGAACATTTCCTCTCAGAAGTAGGGCGATTGGCACTACCACTTCCCCCATGGGACTCAGCACACAGGCCCTCCGCTGTCCTGAGAGAACCTCTTATTCCCAGTTTTATTTTAATTTTTGGTAGATTTACCAGAAGAAAAACACAAACCGATAAATAAATTTTAGAAAGGGGCAAGATTAGATGCAAATGCACAAAGCTTCTTCTTTTTTTAATGAAGATTCCTTATTGCTCCGCACCGCTCCCTCTTTCTTCCCGTCCAGGGCATAGCTGTCAACGTTTCCCTTTTTTTAAGGGAAATTCCCTTATTTCGAATAGGATTCCTCGCAAGAAAAGGGAAAAGTTGAGAGCTATGGTCCAGGGTGGCCCTACCCTCTGCCTGCCCCTTAGAGCAGGGGTCAGCAAACAGGGGCGCCGACTTATAAAAAATATTGGGGGGGCCCATACCGGGGTCCTGCCCCGGGAAGTTTTCTAAGTTCCAATGTCAGCGGCGCCCGGCAGAGCAGCCCTCTCAGCCACGGCAGCCCGGCTCTCCCAGCCCCCGGGGGCCGCCCTCCTCCCTCGCGCACCCGCAGCGTTCCCGCCCGGGGAGGCAGCGCCCCCAAGGACTCAGGTTCGGTTGTACCTGAGAAACCGAGCACCTTGGCTCCCAAACAAATCGGCTTCTGAACAATCGAAACCCGGAAGTGAGTGTTCTGGTTTTCAAATGATTTTTGGAGGGCGAACATCCGGTGCGGCTTCCGATTGGCTGCAGGGGGCTCCTCTGGCAGAAGCCGCACTCTGGTTTTCAAATGGTTCCGGGAATCGAATGGACTCCCGGAACGCATTCTGTTCGAGAACCAAGGTACAGTGGACGCTCGGGTTGCGAACGTGATCCATGTGGGAGGCACGTTTGCAACCCGCAGTGTTCGCAACTCACATTGCTGCGTCTGCGCACACACAGGTTGTGATTTAGCGCTTCTGCGCATGCACAAGTGCCGAGACCTGGAAGTAACCCATTCTGGTACTTCTGGGTTTCAGTGCATCCATAACCTGAAAATGCTTAAGCTGAAGCATCTGTAACCCGAGGTATGACTGTATGTACCAGTCCTAAGGAACTGGCCAAGTAAGGCAATCAGCATCTGCAGGTCCCTTGACAGACAGGAGAGAAGCCACACTCTTGGATTTCTGTTGGTAGATGCCTCTTCCTGAGATGCTTGTATTATGCTAATCATAGAGACAGAAGGGACCCCAAGGTCATCTAGTCCAGCCCCCTGCAATGCAGGAATCTTAGCTCAAGCATCCCTGACAGATGGCCACCTAGCCTCTCCCAGGGAGCAGAGACCGTCTGAACAGCTCTTATTGTCAGAAAGCTCTTCCTGATGTTGAGCCGGAAAAGTCTTTCAAAGCTGCTGCACACCTTTGTTTGGGGTCCTCCCCTCCTTGCAAATGTCAGTGGGAAGGAGGGCTCTGTTTCAACAGAAAAATAAAGATTCCCCCTTTCTTCCAGCTTCCACTCATTCGTCTCTGACTGATAATGGACTTGGGAGGCTTTGAGCCCCTTGGGGAGCTGAGCTGTAAAGGATAACCTCCAATTTTCATGCATCAGAAGGAGCCCAGGAGCCCCATCGGGGCTTACCCTGTGCAGGCTGGTTCCCCCCACACACAAACACACACACTGGGTTGCAATTTTGTGGGTCAGCTTTGGCTGGGAGAGGCAGCCCCCGTTAAGTCTCTGCCAGCCCAATAGCACAGCCCCCCCCCGCCAAGTCCATGGCAGGAGACAGGCAGCAGCACCCAGACCCCAGAGGCTGCCCTTGGGACTGGCGTTCCCACACTGCCGCCTCCGCAACAAAGGCCAGCGGCCAAGTCCCCCCCCCCCCAGCCGCTTCCTTGGTCCCACAGGAAAGCCAGGCAGGGGCTGCACATCCTGCCCTCCGCCTCTTCCTGCTGCCCCCAACAGACAACCAGGCCTGCAAGCTTCCTCTTCTGACATCGCCCAGGCCCCCACACAGCCCCCCACCAGCAAAACGCCCAGGAGTTTGAAGGGACCCGAGGGCCACGCAGCCAAGGGGTCTAACTCTGCAGGGAAAAGCTTCCTGTCTTTCCTCTGCCCCCTCCCCACCGGAAAGGGATGGTGGCTGCAGGCTCTGCCCCCCTTAACATCTGCAAAATGATTAAGGCTGATACATTGTGTTACAGGATTTTATCTAGGTAACTTCCCTGAGCTGTCAAGTTGAAAGGGTACATTCAGGCATAATATTTGCAACATTTAACAACTTTAAAGATGTCCCCCCCGCCCTGTAATTTCCATAACAGTTGGAAGGACAAAAATATAACCTCCTATGACAACTCCTGCAACCCATGAGCTTTCAGACAAAGATCATGCATGGACAAATGTAAAGATCTTTGGAAAGTATTGATCGAAACCACAGTAACAAACGAATCAATGTATCTTCAAGGGAAAGAATAAGTAGATCCATTTGCATATATAGCTCTGTAGGCTTAATGAGATTCCCACAAAACATTAGGAAGGCCTTTCTGGTGGTGAGAGCAGTCAGACAGGGGAAGGGGCTTTTAGGGAGAGGTCGGGGGGGGGCATCTGCCAGGGATGCTTTAGCTGTGAGTCCTGAATTGCTGGGGGTTGGACTGGATGACCTTTGGGTCCCTTCCACCTCTATGATTCCATGACCTTTAAGGGAAGTCACCTCCATCTTCCTCTCAGAGCAGATGCCCACAAGCCCTGGGCGGGAAGAGCCCGAGAGAGAGAGAGCCCGAGAGAGAGAGAGAGAGAGAGAGAGAGAGCCCGAGAGAGAGAGAGAGAGAGAGCCCGAGAGAGAGAGAGAGAGCCCGAGAGAGAGAGCCCGAGAGAGAGAGAGCGAGAGAGAGAGCCCGAGAGCGAGAGAGCAGCCAAGCCCCCTTCACCGCCTCCCCCCCCGCCAGCCCCCTCTCCCCTCCTCCCTAGGCGGCAGCTCCGCCATGACCACAAACGGCGGCGGCAGCAGCAGCCGCGCGCGGCCCGGGCTCCCCTTGCCGGCCGCGGGAGCCAAGGCGCGCGATAATTTGCTTAAATTATGTCAGCGGCGCCCGGCAGAGCAGCCCTCTCGGCCACGGCAGCCCGGCTCTCCCAGCCCCCGGGGGCCGCCCTCCTCCCTCGCGCACCCGCAGCGTTCCCAGGAGAGGCGGCGGCGGCAGCAGCAGCCGCGCGCGGCCCGGGCTCCCTCGCCGGCCGCGGGAGCCAAGGCGCGCGACGAGGGAGCCAAGGCGCGCGATAATTTTTTTAATTATTGGGGGGGCAGAGCCCCCCCAATAAAATTTTTGAGGGGGCTCGGGCCCCCTCAGGCCCCATGGAGTTGGCGCCTATGTCAGCAAACATTTTCAGCAGGGGGCCGGTCCACTGTCCCTCAGACCTTGTAGGGGGCCGGACTATATGGGGAGGGGGTCAACAAATTCCTATGCCCCACAAATAACCCAGAGATGCATTTTAAATAAAAGCACACATTTTACTCATGTAAAAACACGCTGATTCCCGGATTGTCTGCGGGCCGGATTTAGAAGGCGATTGGGCCGGATCCAGCCCCCAGACCTTAGTTTACCTACCCATGCCTTAGAGCCAGTTCATCACATGGGGCTGGGTCTTGGCAGACAGTCCTCCTGGCGGTGGAAGGGCCCGAGGCTCCTGCCAATCCTGGCGGGGAGGGGCTCCCCGGGGCTGAGGATGGTGAGAGGAGGCCGGAGGGGGGCAGGCCGGACAGCCAAGCAACACAGTTGGAGTCTCCCTCCTCCCTGGCCTGCAGGAAGGGAGGGAGAGGAGCTGCTTCCTTTGAAACCCGGGAAATTTAAGGGACATCATCAATAAGGGACAGCAGCAGGACACTGCGCTGGGATCAGGGAGTTTCCCGCCAAATAAGGGACGGTTGGCAGCTACGGTCCTGCTTCTAACTCAGCTCACAAACCCACAACTCTGGCCTTTGTCCTTCTAACGGCCAGCCAGAAGTGAGGGGCAGATGGGGGCACATCAATCTGGGAAGGTCCTCCATCTAGGAGAATGGAAATTCTGATCCTAAACCTCCGCTGCCTTGCGGGATATCTTCAGGAGATGAAAAGGCAAAGGAGTAAATCCTACACAAATTTGAAATGGAGTCCCTAAGACGGTTGGATGGTGTCTTGTACGCCTCCTTCTGGCAACTCCTGCAGCCAAGCTGGTGCCAAACGTATGGCTCTGCTTTCCTTTGGACCACATCAGTGAGGCCAAGAGGGTGGTCTTGACGTCAGTCCAGACCTCCTCCATACACACTGCCCAGGCTTGAGCCCCGGGAGCTCACTTCAGTGCTGCTAATGCAGCAGTTTGACTTCACCCCCGGAGGCGCACTCCATTGTCTCTCAAGACTGAGAGATGCCAACAACCTAAGTATTTCTTCTAGAAACGAAAGGTGTGTGTGTGTGTGTGTGTGTGTGTGTGTATTCTTTTATTAATCATCATTATGGCTAGTAGCCATTCTTATCCTTCATTAATTTGTCTAACCCACTTTTGACACCATCCAAGTTGGTGGTCATCATTACAGTGGTGCCCCGCAAGACGAATGCCTCGCAAGACGGAAAACCTGCTAGACGAAAGGGTTTTCCGTTTTTGAGTTGCTTCGCAAGACGAATTTCCCTATGGGCTTGCGAGTCTCGCCATTTTCCCCCCGCTCCCCCCCCTTTTTCTAAGCCGCTAAGCCGCTAATAGCCTTTTAGCAGCTAAGCCGCTAAGCCTTTAATAGGCGCTAAGCCGCTAAAACGCTAATAGCGCTAAGCCGCTAATAGGGTTGCTTCGCAAGACGAAAAAACCACTAGACGAAGAGAATCACGGAACGGATTCTTTTCGTCTTGCGAGGCACCACTGTACATATTGCATAAAGTATAAAATCAATATTGATTTCTGGGACAATAACATCCACGCAGCCGTGGTCGCATACATAAATAGTCTTTTCTGCTCCCTTGGGATTTCGGCACCTAGAATTCCTAAAAGGAAGGCTTTGGTGTTTTGTTTTGTTTTAGAAAAGATTATTTTAAACATTTTTTTCAACACATTAGATATCATTTCCCAAAATTCTTTTACCACCTTACATTTCCATCACATATGATAAAAGGTGCCTTCTGTTTCCTTATATTTCCAACATACATTCAACTCCGTTTTATGTTATCGGCCCAGAGATGGAAAGAAGATAAAGTCCCTACCAGAGAAGAATGGCGAATCAAGTTGATGGATTATGCCAAAATGGCTAAAATGACCGAAGGAATCAGAAATCAGGAAGACCAAAATTTTAATATGGAATGGGGAAAATTTGTAACTTATCTTAAAGACCATTGTAAACATTTAAAACTGTTAGTAGGATTGGAATATCCCTTGTAGTTTAATGGTGAATTTTGGATACAATGGAGAGGTAAAAGATTCGGATTATCATAAAAGATACAGGAGGAAATGATTAACAATAGGACCAACAAATGGGAGGAGATTCCTTGGAATCTTATTTTTATGTTGTATGTTGGATATGTGACTGCAAAAAATTAATCTGAAAAACCAAATAAATAATTGTTATCTATCATCTCTCTCTCTCTCTATTTCTCTCTTTATATATATAAATCAATATTGTTTTCTAGTTCAGATCTGCCCTGCGTTAGGTTCCCTTTAGGTTCGTTTCACATAAAGCTGAAAACATGAATAAGAGAAACAGTGCAAGCTTTTTCCTTACCAATATTCCAGCTCCAAGAATACCGTGGAAGAACCAGACCAGGTCCGTGATCCTGCGTGGTTCCAACACTTCTCCGTTAGGGAAGTAGAGGAGGAGATTGGAGACGATAGCGCAGACAGCCAGAGGCAGGAGGGCAATCCCAATGCATTTGGAGCATTTTCCAGCGCACATCCTGTATCTCTTCTTAGGAAGGACATGGGGAACGAAAAGAGAAGGCTGAGTAGATGCATTGCATAAAAGTGGATCCCTATAAAATGAAGAATGGGGCTTCCGCTGCCTTTGATCCAGAAGCTGCAGTTAGTGCAGAATGCTGCACCGCGGTTGCTGACAGGAGTGAGGCGCTGTCAACATATAACACCTCTGCTCAGAGATCTGCCAATTTGCTGCCAGGTCATTTTCCAGGTGTTAGTACAGGAACCCCCAACCTTCAGCCCTCCAGGTGTTTTGGACTACAATTCCCATCATCCCTGACCACTGGTCCTGTTAGCTAGGGATCATGGGAGTTGTAGGCCAAATCATCTGGAAGGCCGCAGGTTGGGGATGCCTGTGTTAGTATATAACAGCTTGGAAACAGATTACTTGCTAGATTGCCTTTAGATATGCCTGCTCAGATGCTCTGCTCTGCAGAACTGGAAGTTGCAAATCCATCTTTTAGTGTGGCGGCACACAAACTTTGGAACTCCCTGCCTATTGACCTCAGGCAGGCAGATTTGCTAAAAAAAACCTTCTAAGCCCACCCAGCACTGGCAGAGGAAGAGGAGGGGGAGGAGTGCACCGCCCCCGGCAGCATGATCCCCAGGGTGCCATCATGGCTGCCCCCCCACGCTGGGGGCCCCGCCCCCACAGGCAGTGTGCCCCGCCCCCAGGACGCACACCAGCCCCACCTCCACCCGCTCTCCACCCCCGGTGCCGGAGCATGAAGCTCCGCCGCTGCTACTCAGACATGCAGAATGTTGACGTGCGTTTTAATCTGGCATTTAGCTTACTGGTGGTTTTATGTTTTCAATGTTTTAAATTATGATGTTTTGAATGTTTTAAGTCGTTCTTAACTTCTTCTTTTACTGACAATCTTACCATTTTATCCTTTTTTTGTAAACTGCTTTTTACAATCAAGCAGTATATAAGTCATGTGGAAATCAGGAAATAAAACAGGGTGCCTTTTGATTGTGGGAGAGGACCATTCGTGGCATTTAAGTGAGATGCTTTCTGATAAATGGGCCGTAAACAGCTGTCTTATTTTGAATCACACCACTGATCCATCTAGCTCAATAATATCTAGGCCAGTTATGGGTGCTTATGGTAAAGGTAAAAAAAGAAAAGGAGCCCTGGATGGTTAAGTCCAGTCAAAGGCAACTATGGGGTTCTGGTGCTCATTTCGCTTTCAGGCTGAGGGAGCTGGCATTTGTCCACAGACAGCTTTCCGGGTCATGTGGCCAGCATGCCTGAACTGCTTCTGGCACAACAGAACACAGTGATGGAAACAAGAGTGCATGGAAATCATAGAATCATAGAGTTGGAATAGACCACAAGGGCCATCGAATCCAACCCCCTGCCAAGCAGGAAACACCATCAGAGCACTCCTGACATATGGTTGTCAAGCCTCTGCTTAAAGACCTCCAAAGAAGGAGACTCCAACACACTCCTTGGCAGCAAATTCCACTGTCAAACAGCTCTTACTGTCAGGAAGTTCTTCCTAATGTTTAGGTGGAATCTTCTTTCTTGTAGTTTGGATCCATTGCTCCGTGTCCGCTTCTCTGGAGCAGCAGAAAACAACCTTTCTTCCTCCTTTATATCAGTGTTTCCCAACCTTGTGCCTCCAGCTGTTTTTGGCCTACAACTCCCATCATCCCTGACTAGCAAGACCAGTGGCAAGGGATGATGGGAATTGTAGGCCAAAAACAGCTGGAGGCACAAGGTTGGGAAACACTGCTTTATATGACAGTACTCCAGGTGAGGTCTGACCAGAGCAGAATACAGTGGCACTATTACTTGGCTTGATCTAGATGCTATACTCCTATTGATGCAGCCCAGAATTGCATTGGCTTTTTTAGCTGCCGCGTCACACTGTTGGCTCATGTCAAGTTTGTGGTCAACCAAGACTCCTAGATCCTTTTCACATGTACTGCTCTCAAGCCAGGTGTCACCCATGTCATTTACCTTCCCGCCGCAGCAGTATGTATTTATCTACTTGCACTGGCGTGCTTTTGAACTGCTAGGTTGGCAGGAGCTGGGACAGAGCAACGGGAGCTCACCCCGTTGTGGGGATTCGAACCGCCAACCTTCTGATCAGCAAGCCCAAGACGCTCAGTGGTTTAGACCACTGCGCTACCCACGTCCCTTGGTGCTTATGGACCTCTAGAAGTCGCTGTCCAACTCCCAGATGCTCCATAATTCCCACCATTCCTTTGACTCCTGTGGGATGAAGGGTGAGATGGAAATTGAATAAATCACCGTCCCTGTCCATTGGTCATGCTGGCTGGTACTGGTGGGAGCTGATGGAAGCTGGAGTGTCAACATCTTCTGGGAGGGACGCCAGTTCCCCATTCCTGGTCTCTGCTGAGTGGAAGCTGACCGTTATCATTGCCAGCCCCGCCTGGAGAGACTGGGGATTGAACCTGCGACATTCTGGATGCAAAGCAAGGGCTCTACCACTGAGCTCCAGCCACCCCCGTCTTATGCCTATTGTCTGATTATTCATTCTATAGTGAAACAGCTGCTTAAAAGTTAAGAGAGAGACAGCGAAGGGACAGCAGACACAACATTGAGCTGCGATTTGGCTGGAAGGTTGATGGCATCAGGCTTCTCTCTGGGAGTAGCCCAGACACTGTTTCTGACGGCCGAATCCCAGCTATGTCTGGGAAATTCTGGACGTATGGCAACACTAGCATGTCTGCTATGGCCATGTAAGAGTGTCTGCTGTTGACCTCTGTTTAGACTTCACTTGTATATTTGGGAAGAAATCCATCTTTGCAAATGTGTTTTTACAAATATTGCAAAGATACACCAAGTCTCCAGTATGTTTGTTTGTTTGTTTGTTTATTTATTTATTATTTATTTATTTATTTATTTAAAGATTTTCTTGATTTACAAAATTATGCAATGTCTCTCTCTCGTATTCCCCCCCCATGTAACATTTTTACAAATCAGTTTCATTTGTTGAGACATTAGGAAGAAAAGGGGGAAAGAGGTGGAGGTGGGAGAGATGAGTGGGGTTGGGGTCAGGTGGCGATGTTTCTATTTTACTTACTATATGTAGGGTTTGTTGTCAGCGTTGCTTGTGCAGGTTCTTTGCTGTTCACTTGTGCTCCTTTGGTGGTGAGAGAGGTTGGGGTTGGCCCAGGGTGTGGTTGTTTGTTTGTGACTGGCTGTGGTGGTCTTTGTTTTCGTGTGTGAGTTGGGTGGGTGGGTGTTTTGGATCAGGTTAGCCATATTGATTTGTATGCTGTTGGTGGATTGTTTGCTGTTGTCTTATTGGGCTGTGTATGTGATAAAGGATAAAGGTGTCTTCTTCTATTTGTCCCCGTGTCAGTTTCAGTTTATTGGTCAATTTTTCTAGTAGGTCTGTTTCCCATACTATTTGGTAGCATTAGTCCATGCTTACTCCTGACAGGTCTCTCCAGTGTGTTCTGAGCCAAAATAAGCCAAGCCCAGTTAGTACCATCCTGGAACTTCTCCCCATTAGGGGAGGATGGGAAACATAGCAATACGTACATAATCTTATATTTCAGAAAGAAGTTGGGGGGGGGGACGGGGGACGACCCAGTAGCAGCAAGAAAAACCTATAGCACCATCTCTTGGCAGAGGTATTCCTCGCATCATTGCAATATCTTCTAACATGCAGGAGACTTAAAAGCAAGCAAGCAAGCAAACAAACAAACAAACAGGAAAGGCTGCAGAAAATAGGCATTATGGAGTTCACATGTATACCACTAAAAGCAGCAGCCTGTGTTTTCGCCTCCCCTTCCTCATCATTTCTAAATTGGGATGGAAGAGAAATCAGATACTGTTTGCATTTAAACCTAGCTAATTGGCTCTAGAAATGGAGGCAGTGAGAGATTTTACTTTCTTGGGCTCCATGCTCACTGCAGATGATGACAGCATTCACAAAATTAAAAGACGCCTGCTTCTTGGTAGAAAAGCAATGACAAACCTAGACAGCATCTTAAAAAGCAGAGACATCACCTTGCCAACAAAGGTCCATATAGTTAAAGCTATGGTTTTCCCAGTAGTGATGTATGGAAGTGAAAGCTGGACCATAAAGAAGGCTGATCGCTGAAGAATTGATGCTTTTGAATTATGGTGCTGGAGGAGACTCTTGAGAGTCTCATGGACTGCAAGAAGATCAAACCTATCCATTCTGAAGGAAATCAGCCCTGAGTGCTCACTGGAAGGACAGATCCTGAAGCTGAGGCTCCAACACTTTGGCCACCTCATGAGAAAAGAAGACTCCCTGGGAAAGACCCTGATGTTGGGAAAGATGGAGGGCACAAGGAGAAGGGGACGACAGAGGATGAGATGGTTGGACAGTGTTCTCCAAGCTACCAGCATGAGTTTGACCAAACTGCGGGAGGCAGTGGAAGACAGGAGTGCCTGGCGTGCTCTGGTAGATGGGGTCATGAAGAGTCGGACACGACTAAACAACAAAACCAATTGGCTCTTTCTGAAACAACATGTGAATTGAAATTCAGCTCTCCTTTGAAATTTGCACTTCTCCAAATTCCACAATGCAGTTCTCCAGCCAAGTACATATGCCTAAAAAAATCATGTTATTGAAAACAGCATGCAAAAATGTATTATAGTAGGGAAAATCACCTTGCAAAAATGTGTATGTTAGGCAAACATACACATGGAAAATGGGTATATTAGGAGAAATTTGCAGCAAAAAGCTGATGAATTTCCTTGAAGATTTTTTTTTTTACTGCAAACTGATATGCAAATATGGAGAACTGAATTTAAGATTGGGGAAATGAGAGACTGAGAAACCAAACTTGACAGATTATCTCATTCCAACAATCATAGATTGTAGATGACAATATTACTATGCTCAGCCTGCTTCTCCTAGCTTCTCTGAGTGGTGTGAAGTTCTGGGGATGCAGTATTTGCCCTGGCTTACTAACCTTTGGGAGGAAGATATGGAAGGTTAAGGTGTTATACGTAATATCTGAGTTCATTTACAGATATACAGGTTGAACACAGGTGGAGGCACAGCTTATTCAGGTTTCCTGAGCTGGCTGGGGCTGATGGCAGTAGTAATTCATCAGGGCTGGGGGACAGACTCACAATGCTGTTGTTAGCTCAATCTCAGCTCTCTGTCTCTTGGTTCCAGCCTTTTTTCTGTGTTCCACTCCAAACAAATTAAATAAGACATTTCCACATCCTTAGCTGGGTTAGGGAAGGGAAGAGATCTGCTTTTGCTCTGATTAGAAGACATAAGGAAGGTGTCTAACAATCAGCTCCATTTATTTATTTTTTAAATTGCCTGTGTCACATAGATAGATGATGGAGCTTGACCTTTGGAGCAATAAGAAACAAACCAATGTTTTCTTCAGATTGCAAGAAAAAAGGGATTCGGACTTCAAGCAAAAATGCAAAGATATTGTCCAAGCAATAACAAGTTTGAGCATCTTCTTAATATAAACCAGACTGATAACAGATGGACAAGTTGGGAACTCCACCAATCCTAGCTAGCCTCATTAGGACCCACCTGTAAGTCAAAATTGACATTAGGCAGATCTTCTCCTTAAGGAGATCTTTTGGATTCGTCCTGAAATATGAGGGCGAGGACAGCATCAATCCTTACCTTATTTATCGTACAGGCAGGCAAATGTATACCAAACTGTAAAATCTCCAGCTGGGAATGGGGTGAGGAATCTTTCTTTCTGATGGCTTCAGATTTTATACTTCCCCCTCGTTCTCCATAGCAGCCTTAGGAAGGCAAATAAACCCTCTGGAGGTAGAACTTCCATTAAACAAATACGTGAAACCCACACCAAAGAACGAGGAAATACCCCAAACAGCTTCCATTTGGCAGGCACCGAGGCCATGTGTCACTCTGCATTATGGATTTTTTTCCAGGGACTGTTCCATTGGTCAATGGGCACCTTGAAGTCACATTGACTTTCTGCAGCTCTTTGAAAGCCTCCACCCATCACCATCATTATGTCTGAAATGCTTTGCAACATAACAGTTTAGGGAAACAAAACAAGAGGAAGTCATCTGTCAAATAAAAGGGTGAGGGAGGGACCCACAATAAACACTGTGGGAGGCTCTGTCAGTATTTTGCAGGGGGCAGGAATCTAATGCACACCATAACTTTAAAGGTAAAGGGACCCCTGACCATTAGGTCCAGTCGTGGCCGACTCTGGGGTTGCGGCGCTAATCTCGCTTTATTGGCCGAGGGAGCCGGCGTACAGCTTCTAGGTCAAGTGGCCAGCATGACTAAGCTGCTTCTGGCGAACCACAGCAGCACACGGAAACGCCGATTACCTTCCCGCCGGAGCTGTACCTATTTATTTACTTGCACTTGGACGTGCTTTCGAACTGCTAGGTTGGCAGGAGCAGGGACTGAGGAACGGGAGCTCACCCCGTCGCGGGGATTCGAACCGCCGACCTTCTGATCGGCAAGTCCTAGGCTCTGTGGCTTAACCCACAGTGCCACCCGCGTCCCACCATAACTTTAGGTTTGTGCATTTAAAGTCGATAAAGACTCTGTTGCCCTAATCCAAGAAATCTACTCCCCCCCATAGACTTTTTGTGGTTTGGGAAGTGATGGGTTAAAGGCATTGGAAAATATGGGACGAACATACGATTAATGCGAAGACACATAAACATCCAGGAAGCAAATCAGCAGAAATGCTCGATAAAGGCCAGATACAATCTAACTAACTACGTGTAAGCGTTGTGCAAGCAAATCAGAATGAATATTCAATGGATGTCTGGATGAATCTTGCACAGTAAAGTCCTTGAGTGCTTGGGAGCTATGGCCATTGGAGAAGGAACCAAAACAGTGCTGGCCACACTCCCAACGTCCGCATGCTCAGTGTTAGTATAAAAAGGGCCTGTAATGCGCACACTGTTATAGCTGCATGGGGCTCTACCACATGATCAGCAATCCTGAGCTTCTGATCATGTGCAGGAGACGTTCCTTTCGTGCTTCCACTGAATTTGTGGCTGTTGGGAGGTGTGGCCATTAGGCGTGGTCCCATTTCTTTGTACTCCCCTCCCCTCTGGCCCCATTTGAGGGACCTGTTGTTGTGGGTAGCCTCTTCTTCCTCTTGGGGGCAACATGCTGGCGGTGGGTGGGGCCAGAGGTGAAAGTGGGTGGAGCAATGGCTGTAAGCCTTGCAGTAGGGTAGTTTCTACACATTTCCAATGAATGAACACAGCAGATAGCTAACTCTTTACAGTGGTACCTCGGGTTACAGACACTTCAGGTTACAGACTCCACTAACCCAGAAATAGTACCTCAGGTTAAGAACTTTGTTTCAGGATGAGAACAGAAATCGTGCAGTGGCAGCACGGCGGCAGTGGGAGGCCCCATTAGCTAAAGTGGTGCCTCAGGTTAAGAACAGTTTCAGGTTAAGAACAGACCTCCAGAACAAATTAAGTTCTTAACCCGAGGTACCACCGTATTGTCAAAAACAACACTGTCACTTCTATAGCCCATCCGGTGCTTCACCCCCCAGCTCTGAAGCTTCCCCTGCCTCCGACTCGTGCCTCCTGGCCCGTACGGTTCCCTACAAATCGTTGCCCCCCTCTCCCGCCTCAGACTCCATCCAGCTAAGCAGGAGTCTTTATCTCACAGTTCAAGGGCACATTCTTGCCAGGCAGAAACACTCCGTTGCAGAGGGTGAAGCAATGCCAGGAGAGGTTGTGTGGCCTGGGGAGAGCCCCAAGCATGAGATGGAGAGGTCTAGAGAGCTGTGTTTGGCCCCCAAGTCTGAGCTTTCTCACTGTGCTGGGCCTGGGAGTTAACCTGATCAACACGGTCCAGGTCTGGTCCCAAATCCAAGGATCCCACGAGGAGTCAGTCCAACAGGGCCAAGGCAGGAAACCAGGCTAGGTCAAGCAGAGGGTAACAGGCAGATTCCAACAAGCAGCAATCTTGCTCCCACAACCTGAGGTGGGGTCCAACAGCCTTTTATCTTTGTCGGGGTAACAGCTGGTCCTGATCCCCTGGCGACTCACCTCCCTGTTTTGCCCAAAGGCAAGCACTCCTCCTGCGAGTACTCAGGTCTCTCCTTCTCTCAGACCTTAGTCTCTGCAGCTCGGGAGATTTCAGTGGGTTACTAGACCCAGAGGCCACCTCAGACTCTCCTGACCCAACTGGTAGTGGAACAGCTGGACGTGATTGCCCAACAGAAGGGAACAAGGTCATCCCCGCATCTGGAGCCAGGGCAGACTCAGGCCCCTGACTCGGCTCAGCTGGTGCTTGTTGCAAGGGAACCTGTGCAGTCTGGGGCTCTTCAGAATAAGGCCCCAGACTCGGTTCAGATGCCGCCTGAGGCAGAGGATCCAGTGCAGATGGAGACTCCTCCGGTTCCGGTTCCGAGCCCAAGTCCCAGGCCATCACACCCACCCTTGCCCTATATAAACCTGACACCTCCTGCCTCGAGTCCTCCACACACTTTAAGAGGGGGGAAAGGAGGTGACTTGGATGTGTTAATAAGTAATCGCAGCTCAAACTTTGGTTCAGAAAAGGTTATCACCTCAACTGCTGCGTCCTGCTATTCCGGAACCAACACATCTAATAAAAGCCAGTTTTCCGTTTCAGAGCTGTGCAAATTTGTTCCTCTGCCATCAGCGCCAAAGTCTGGGAGCCCAGATACGCATTGATTGTCCGATTTGTGTAATCACAGCAGAAAACGCATGCGGGGCACCATCTAGTGAGATGGTCCTTTGTGCAAACCGCATTGAAAAGATCTGGATTGCTGCCGGAACCCGATGCTCATGCATTGAACCCATTCTTTTCAGTGCTGTTTTTAATGTTTGATGTTTTACAGTATTCTGTTTTTAATCTGTTGGGAGCCACCCAGAGTGGCTGGAGAAACCCAGCCGGATGGGCAGGATATAAATATATTATTATTATTATTATTATTATTACTACTACTACTACACAGAAGGAACGTTCCGATGGCTTGTGCCTTAGGAATCTGATACGATGTGCAACTTCACTGCAGGTTCTTTGAAGTTAGTCTACCATTACACATTCATTTTTATCTATGGTGCCTAAAGGCTGCCTAAAAGATCAGCTTCAGCAGACATTCACTTACCTTAATGTGCCAATCAAACTTACCATGAACTTCGTTACGAGGCTGAACTTCGAAACAACGCACCCTTGAGAAGACCCTGTGCAAATGCTAGCCCCTTGTCAAATCTCTTCAAACTTTCTGGAGTTAGAGCGTTGTCGCTGTAGCCGAGCAAGCAAGCAAATGGTTCCTTCTATCACACTATTTGGGAACACACACAAAAAATACCCTAAAATTTGGCTGCGAGATATCTGGTACTCTGTGTTTATGTTTGCATGTGTCACCATGCATGATTGATTTTTAAGGCAATGAAAGCATTGCTCTGTTCCACTGATCAATGGCTCCTGGTTATATTGATCAACGCTGCCTTACTTCTGTGCATTTGTCTTTTGTTAAAAAAAAAAAAAGTCGGCGCTCTCTTGTTGTTGCACAGCTCAGATCATGGGAAAGGGAATGTAAACAGGCACAACCGTGCTGCTTTTTATTGTTATGATTATTTCCATTGATTTATTAATCAGCTTCTAAACCGCTGTCTCAAGGCAGTGGACACATTTGGGAATAAAAAACAATGTAGACCAGACCCCGTCTGTGTGTGTGTGTGTGTGTGTGTGTGTGTGTGTACACATACATCTAAGCTGTAAGGTCACAGACTTCTCTGTGTAATCAGGGACTCTACTGTTTGCAGTAGAGTCAAAGGTCATATAAATATAAGCCTATGCACATAGCTGTTACATGCAGACAGAAAATATTTCACAAGCTCTCTTGAATGCACATAGGTTGAGAGCAGATGTGCATTCCTCCCTCTATTATTATCCCTGCCTCAGAACAGAAGAAGTACCTCTGCTTCAAAAATTGCGATATTGCCTCTGTCACTCACATTTCTCTCTGTGCCATTGGGTTTTGATTTCTGCAGACATAATCTGCCACCCCAACAGCCTTATTTTTTGTTTGATACCCAGTTGTTTAGCCCTCGCTGGTTACAGAACCCCAACAGCTGGAAGGGACTCAGGGCACCACCAGACCCTCCCAGTGCCCCTATTTTCAAGGGACAGCCCTGATTTAGAGAAGCCGTCCTGGTTTCTGATTTGATCCCAGAATGTCCCACTTTTCCTTAGGACGTCCCTATTTTCATTGGAGAAATGTTGGAGGGTGTAGAGTTATCCGACCCCCGAGCCGTCTGAAGGCAATCCTCTATAGGGAAGTTGTTTAATGTTTTTATATATGTTGGAAGCCACCCAGAGTTGCTGGGGCAACCCAGTAAGATGTGCGAGTTATAAATAGTAAAATTATCATTGTGGAATGGGACACCCCTATTTTCAATGGATAAATTTTGGAGGGTATGCACCCTGCAGGCTATACCTGCAAATAATATAATAGATTAAATTCAAAATGTACAGTAAATATGAATGATACAATAAACAAATGGGCATATATAATTATTTTATAAAGGTAAAGGGACCCCTAACAATTAGGTCCAGTCGCGGACAACTCTGGGGTTGTGGTGCTCATCTCGCTTTATTGGTACAGCTTCCAGGTCATGTGGCCAGCATGACTAAACCGCTTCTGGCGAACCAGAGCAGCACACGGAAACACCGTTTACCTTCCCGCCAGAGCGGTACCTATTTATCTACTTGCCCTTTGACGTGCTTTTGAACTGCTAGGTTGGCAGGAGCAGGGACTGAGCAACGGGAGCTCACCCCGTCGCAAGGATTTGAACCATCGACCTTCTGATCGGCAAGTCCTAGGCTCTGTGGTTTAACCCACAGCACCATCTGATCCCTAATTGTTTTATAGATGAACTTAAATCTTGGACTGGGGTTAGTACAGAAGGCATAGTGCTTAACAAGTCTAATCACTGTCTTGTTTTCGTTAC